AGGAGCCAGATTCTTCCATCACAGGGGTATTTTCTGCACTGGAAGCTCTCTCTGGGAGTTACAGGGGACATCATGCCTGGTGTCCCAACCTCCCTCCTGGAAGCCCAAGGATTGGAGGAGGAAGCTGCAGACAGGTCAGGGCTGTGCAGTTAACTGGAGGGTGTCAACCAGCACCTGTCTGTCCCTGGGTGTTAGGAATTGCAGTGGTTCTGAGACGTGCATCCCTGAGGTGCCACAAAGGAAGGTGTCTGGAAGGCAGAAGGGAAAGGATGTGGCCTTGGGAAGCCTCAGATTTCTGCTCAGTAGTTCTTCCAGGTGCTGGGGATCAGCTGTGGCAATTCCAGACCTGTTGTTGTTTGGTTCTTGCCTCTCCCGTTGTTTCCTCTTAATGTGGAATTGATGGGAGGGCTGTGCCCTGTGAGGGGATGCAGTGTAGGGCAGTCAGAACGTCAGGACCAGCAAACCGTGAGAGGAGGTCATTGCTTCCTTGTGACATAAAATACAGGAGGGCTACAAGGGACTGGAGGGAGGATTTGTCCCTCCAGGGGACCCTGTCCACGTCTGTAGCTGATCACAGTCTTGATCCAGACTGTGTTATGCACCTGTACTGAAAATGTAAAGGCTTCTCTCTCACACCAAAGGTGTTGCTTGCCTATGCCTCCTGTGTGGCCCTGCAAAATGGAGGGAAGGCAACCTATCTGTGGGCTGCGTGCTCCCTGCCTCAGGTGAGGACCAGCCCTTGGATCTCTTGAACCTGCTTCTAGAAAGGAACTAGCAAGCAAAACCTGATTCTAGCCCAGAATAACGGGTTAAATTGTTATGGAAACTGTGCCAACCTCCAAATCCCTTTGCCAAGCTGTAGGGATTACGGTTTCATTTTCCTGAGGGATTTCTTTCTTTTGTTCAGTGCCTTATTTTTGCATGAATACTCAGGCCCTGGCCCTGCAGTGGATCCACTAGACAGATCCACAGCCTTAGCTGCAGCAAAACTAGCGGCAGGAACCTGCAGCTCAGAAACTGTAATGTGTTCAGCTCCAGAATGAGGGTGGCTGCTCATGCTGAACAGAGGTCTGTCTACTTGTGGAGTCATGCAGAAGCCAGCCCATGTCTCTGGAAGCAATCAGTCTGCCTGCTGAAGGGACATCTTGTCTGCAGCCAGCATGAGGCTGGATGGAGCATTCACAGATAACTGATATATATCCTGGGAAAGTACTGAAGTGGCCATGAAATACATAGCGATGAAAGAGGGAGACCCAGTGTTTACAGCTATCATTAAAAGTTACCGAGATTTTACTTTTAAGGCAAAAGCCACGTTTCAGGCCAGTGTGCCAGGTTATTTTGTTGTTGTTTGTTTGATGTTGGCTCTGCCTCTCTTCTTTCTAAAGTGGGGCACTGGGAGAGGTTTGTATTTCCTTACTGGGACACTTGTGCAGAGCACAAGCTGACAGAACTGTAACCTGTTCACTGTGGAAAGTATTCAAGCAAGTGTTTATTGCATGCTGCCACCAGAATGCTGCAGTTATCCTTGCCAGACGTGCACAGCAGACTGTAGTTAGGAACAGGGAAACTGCTTTTGTTTGTTTATTTTATCTCCAACACCACGATGCCTCACAGCACTGGCAGGGCTGAGGTCCAAATCTCATCCCTGAGCAGTAGGCTTTTGCCCATGGTAATTCTGCTGGGGAAAAAAACAGCATCTGTATCTGCATAGACAGCTGAGCTGCGTCTGCTCCCCGACCCTGTGGGGAAATGCAGGCTGTCTCACTCTATCTTTTCCTCCTGCCTGCCTTAGCAGGTCTTGTTTCCGTGTGCGTTTTGCTTGGTGTCTCTGCAGGTTCTTGCTTTGCCCTGCATGTCATGCTCCATACATCAGACCCTTCCTCAAACACAGTGCTGTTGATCATCTGCTGTTTGCAGCACACATAAATGTTGCAATGTTTGCTTCTGCAGAGACTCCTGCATATTTGGAAAGCTGCTTTTGCTGCTTCTGTGCTAAGCAAGGGCCTTTGCTGACCTGATGCGTGCAATTATGAGAATCACAAGTAGGCTGCTGGCTGCATGCCTGATGGGGGCTGATGCAAGGTTTTGGTCCAGATTTGAGACTGGCATACCAGGAGATGCTGTTCCTATCCGATAATGGAGATAACTTCTCTTTAATGTCATCTTGGAAGAAAGGGCAACTGTAAAATACCTCTGTCTTTGGATACGTGCAGCATGTGCATTTCATCTATGAGATATTTAAAACACGATGCATTGTAGGCATTACATGGGAGAAGCAAGAGAGCCTTACATTAGGAAGTGATTTGAATGCCTGGAAGTGCAAACGCTGCATGAGTTCAGCATGGTAAGAAATCAGTGTCTGTTTTCCCTTCAGAGAAGTTACATGTTGTTAACCAGAAAAGCATGCTCTGTGTTTTCCCAAGAGTTGTTCTTATTTGCTAATAGGACTGGTGCTAGGACATGGTGAGAAGGCCGTGGCCCTCCTTCATGCCCTCTCTCTGAGAGTAGCCTTACTTCTTGCCTCCAGATCACTTGTGCCTAGCAGCAGACCTTCCTTCCCTGCCTTCTTTCCCCCCCTCAGTCTCAACTGAGATTTTGATAGCTTTACAGTCTTGTAAATATGTGCTTTTAAACTAAGGCTTCCTGTGCTTGGTATTCAGTCAATTGCAGTTTTTTTCTGTTTATAGACTCTGGTTTCCTAACTCGCCTTCTGTGATTCAAAGGTTAATTCCTTGGAAACCGCTGGCTTGCTGAGCTGAAGTGACTTCAGCAGGTCCGTTCTGGTGCTCTCATCTGTTGCCAGTGTGGAATGTGGCTAGGCTTTGCTTGGAAGTGGGATTGAGGCCTTAATCATCATCAGAGCTCTTCTCCTAGAACAAAAGCACTATCAGCCTCCGGGCAGCTGCTGTCACTGCAAGAAAGAACAGCTCATGTTGAGTGTGACTGATGTTGAAATAAACCACACCTTGGTTCTCAAGAGTGACCTTTGGCAAATTGCATCAAAATAAACAAGGTGTGCAATTTTAGTTATTTTAGGTTGAGTTTCCTTGGAGACAGGCTCTTAGGAACTTCTGCTGCCAGTTCTTGTGATGCTCGCTGCTCTAACATAAACAAAACTGAGAAAATTCTCAAAAAACAAACAAAAAACCTCATGAAATTTCACAGGATTGTGAACTGTAGAACACTTTGCCATGCTCCTAATATGCTCTTTAAAGGGATGCTGAGAAGTGTCAAGACTGTGGGTCAGATAAAGTATATCACTGTGACTGCTTTTGCAAAGGGCTGTCTTGAACACAGCTAAAATTTCTGTGGAGGATGGGAAATTCTGGCATAAATAGGTCCCATCGGTGACTTTTGCTTTTATGTAGAGGAATATCATGGTACTGGAATACATCTCTGCCCTCTGGGTTGATCTTTGTCTGTTTTGGGACCGGGAGTGGCTGTAGTCAGCTGTTGTAAAATACAGCAGTCCAAAGGCTGAGCTAACTTAACAGCAGGGTCAGGTCCAGGGCAGACCAAATTTTTAGGAGACAGCTGCTTCCCTGAAGTAAACCCTGTATATTTATTAAATGGCTTGCGACTTGGTGCGAGATAAAATCTGCCTTCATTTTTTTGTCTGGACTGAATTCTTGAAGCAGAAGACATTCAGCCCTTGGAGGGAGGCTAAAGGGTTTGTTCCGCCTTTAAATTCTGTTAATCTTTAAATGAATGCCGTAAAAAGCTAAAGCAAACACTTCTACACCAGTTACTCAGCTCTCCTTCCCGTCCCACTGGGGACAGAGATAGCCACCCACAGTACTAAGTTGCTGAGGGACACGGGGACACCTCGTGCATGCATCTGTGCTGTGCAGGTGGGATACTTGTGTGTGGTAGTCCTTGGGAAGAACAAAGTCCTGCACATGGTTTTGTCTGTGAGGATAAAGCCTCTGTGTTTTCATCAAGGAATTCCCCTGAAATAGTCTTTGCCTCTGCTTGCCCACAAGGAAATGGGAATGGCTTAGTGAGAGCGGTGCTGTGGAAACCAGCCTGTTCGTGCTTGGGAAAAGGGAAGGACTTATTTTTCAACAAGAGCTTGTTGGTTGGTGCCTAGGAGGAAGGCGTGCTCAGTCTGGCTGGGCTCCCTGCTGGGGCAGCATGTCTTTCCCTGCTCTGAGATTCAGGGAGGTTTCAGCAGTGGGTGCACATCCTGATGGATTGAGTGGCTCCAGTGACTGGCTCATAACTACAACACCTATGCCATGTTTCAAAACTCTTCAGAGGCTTTTCTTTAATGATTCTGCCTTGAAATGGTCTGACAGTATTTCTCCTGAAGAGTCATGCTCTGTTTTGAAGATAAGATGTTTGGTAACCTGCATTCGGATAGAGCCGCTGGGACAAAATTGCTGTTCTGATCAGTGTCCTCAAAGCAGGCTTAACATTTACATTTTCTAGAGCTGCTTTTTCATCCTCAGTTACCTAACCTTCATCTAAGCATGAAAAAATCCTAGAGTTTAAATCAACTCCAGCACGTGACTCTGGGAACAGTATGCATTGTGAATGAGTTTGGCTTGAACTCAAGAAAATACTTTTTCCCTTTGAAAATTAGGAAGAAATCCTTTCAAATAGAAAGCCCCTGAGTGGTGAGGCCACCAACTCCTGATAATGGAAATGAGCTTTTCCAGTTTGCAGTGGATCAGATCCTGCCCCCCAGGCCTTTATTTTGACTGGTTTTGTTTTCAGCGTGTATTGATACAGCTTACTGAAATGCTGACATAGCTTTCCATAATATTTTTTTTCACGTAAATATTGTATTGTCTTCAGTGGACTGTTTAGAACAACCATGGAAGCTTTAACTGCGTTCTTTGGTTATTCATAGTAACGGTAATATTTAATCTTTCCTATTGTCTCTTCCCTCATCCCATATCAATTTAGTTAATTTAGTTCAATGTATAAATGTTGTTGTGAATAACAGTGTCTCTTATGGCTGACTGCTCTCACATTCATTGTGCTTTCATTGCCAGTCCCGCAGTGTCGATAAGCAGCACGCTGTAATCAACTATGACAAGGAGAAAGATGAGCACTGGGTGAAGGATCTTGGGAGCTTAAATGGGGTAAGTAGCAAAACTCTGGGATAAGGGAGGCCAGCACACGATGCTGAGTCTGTAAGCATTTTATGTCCCTCTACTGCTAGACCCCTCTGGGTTACTCTAGCTGTTGGCATAAATTAATCTAAATGTATATAATTATTTGCAAGGCCTGAGACAGAGGTCATGTAGCATCTCATCTTAGAAGAGGAAAGCTTTGATAAATTAATCTTTTTTTTTGGTGCCCTTGCAGAACTCTCCAGTATTCACAAAACCATAGAGTCTCTTTGAATTTATTTCCTGCTCTTTTCTGTCTCACTTTGGGCATGTTAACACTGAACTGGTGAAGCTGGAGCAGCTGTTCAGCATGAGCAGGGTGACCTTTATCAGTTCTGTTGTCAGTGTGCGGAGTGATTTATGGGATGGTGAGCCATTTAATTTCTTTGGGGAGAAACTATTTAAAACCAGCTCTTTTTGGTAATGAAGATTGGTATTTCACCTGTTTTGTTTTGTCTTAAGACTGAGGAAAAATGTGAACCCAGAACAAGAGCAGAGCCTGCTTCAGTTTTAATCCTAGTTGTGACCCTGACTCAGTCTTGTTAGGCAGCTTCCTGAGGCTTTGCCTCTGAATTATGTGATTATTTAATACATTGGGAGAGTTAAAACTGTCCTCATATCATGCATGCCTGTCTTTGACTGTTGCTACACACCAGTGGAGCTATTCCTCTTGTGTAGCAAGCCTCAGCTAGATTTACAGGCCTGTGTTTGCAGTAGTTTTACTGCAGTCACTGTTTTTAGCTTAGAAACAGGAGCTCTCCACCATCACTGCCACAAAAACATGAGACAAACACAGAAACTTGTACAGAAATTGTGGGTGAAGCAGACATCAACCTTTCTGCCTCCTCTGGCATCTGGCTGCAGCTAGAGTGAGTGATAATCCTTCTCAGCCTAATAGCTGAAGGCAGAGAGCCCTGCTGAAATGTCAGTATTTCTGCTAAGTGCTGTGGGCTCTGCCTGGATTCTTGCTTCACAACCTCTGATTAAATAGCTCAAAAATCCTGCTTGCAGGAAGGGGAGGTTCCTGTTGCTGCTTCTCTTCTTTCTTCATAGGCTCATGAATAAGAATTTACAACATTTTGGTATAGACTTAACACTTACAGAGGTGGATTGAAAGCAGTGAGAGCAATGCCTGTCTTCTGCAGCTGGTCCAACAGACTTCACTGGAGAAGGCTGTTGTGGCCAACTCTGTTTGATGAAATAAATAGGTCCTTAGTTGGTAATTTTCATGTGGATGTTATTTTCAGGGGGAAAGTCAAATTTCTTCAGGGGGACTTCGATTTTAATTCGATTTTCAGCATTTGCTTTTATTTTGTATTTATTTTCCGCTTTTTCAGCGATGCATTATATGACTTCAGGCACTATAGTTCATAATATTATCAGGTCTTTTAAAATGTTGTTTTATTATAATGTTCAGGCAGCTGATCCTGCAGTCTTTGTGCCTTTTGATTTTTGAAGATAGCATTTCTGTCTGCAGCAAGCAGTTTATTGGGGTTATTTAAATGTTCAGGTAACAATCAAAATGGATTTTCTGGCAGACTCTTTTGCAGAAAATCCAGCAAATAGTTATTTTTGTTCTAGATCTGTCGACTGTGGAATTTTCTTCCACGCAAATAGGAATTGCCTGTCTTTTAACCAGCTTCACTGCTTTTATTCTGAAATTACAGACCTCTTCCCCAGCTTTTCTGGCAATTGCCAGGAAGCAAATTGCCATTACCTCCTGTGTTCCAGCGTCCTGCTCTAGAATTTATTTTTCCCTCTGGTTACCACTTGGTTTTACAGTGTGTGTTTGAGTTGGTCAAGGTGAGAAAGTAAAAGGAGAAAACTGTGCCTTGGTGATGAAAGTTTGTCAGTTCATTTTCTAGCATAATTTTGACTCTTCACAGCTTAGCTGACGTTTGTAGTGAGGCTGCAGAGACCTGGCAGTAGACACCAGGTCTGTGAGGCTGAGTTACTGCCCTGCTGCAAGATCAGGTAACTTCTGGGGTCTGCAGCTGCTGAGTGCTTGAGCCCCACCAGCATGCTGGTGCTGCTTCACTTGAGTTCCTGAGTTATTTTTATTTGGCCTGGGTTATTACAAAAGCACGTGGGCTCATCTGTGGAAGATATCTGAGTGCTTCATCTACTGTTCCGTAAGAATTATTCCTTATGGGTTCACCTCAGAGTGCAGGCAGCTGAGACATCTGAGGTGCTTGTTCTCAGCTGTGAAGCACATTTTTTGCACCATACAAGGATAATTCAGTTTCTTCAGGCCTAAGCTAACTGTCTGCAGTGTAGAAAAAAGTGAGCAAGTGTATCTCTTGGGTGAGAGGCTTTTTGTACTGATAAATGACGTCTTGGACAGCATGGCCTTAGATACCACAGTGATTCCACTGAAATACCTGCTTCCCTGTGTGTTTCCATTTCCCTTTCCTATGTGATAGGCTTTGATAAATGACCAGGCCTTGGAGCTGGCATAAGTTCTTGTTTGGTATTTGACGGAGAGCTCATTCTCAGCTCAGTAGTTAGCAGGAAAAGCTATAGCAGCTTCTCTCCTATATTTACTGCCCTTGCTGGTTTCAAAGGGAGAAGACCCAAGAGCACCCAAGGTTCCTGACTTCAGGTACCTCATTTACATCTTTAGGTCAGGAACTAAAGCTTCATTTGCAGTTGGTGAGAAGAGTACCTATCTTTGAAGCACATTTGGGGTGCTCAGACCTGCCCATGGGAGCTCTATGCTGGTGGTCTGCAGGGAGCTGAGCTCCTCACAGGGCTGAGGTGCAGCCTGAGCATGTGCAATGCCCTCAGCAGATGGGCATGTATCCTGGGTCAAAAACCACACCTGTGCTTCCTCTCTGCAGACATTCGTCAATGACGTGAGGATTCCTGACCAGAAGTACATCACCCTGAAGCTGAATGATGTCATTCGCTTTGGCTATGATATCCTTCCTCTCTGAAGATGCGTTTTGTGCTGTTCATTGCATGGAGAGTTAAATGTGCTAATTGTGGCTAATGACTAAGGATGTTTGTTTTGCCTCCTGCAGCCTTTGGATGGCTCATCAGCTTTTGTTTCTCCACCATGGACCTGATTCAGAACATATTAATCAGAATGCCTGCTGCCTCCATTGGACTTTGAAGACACTGTGCTGACAGCAGTGTCTGAGAAGGTCTCTGTCAAAGGAAGGATTGCTTGTTTTTTTTTCTTTTTCATTTGAGATCTGTGAGTGGCATCTGTAGCTGATAAAAGCCTGGGAGTAGGCATTCTTCATATGCTTTTGTAAAAAAACTAACATTTTAAAGTCATCATTCTTTGCTCCCAACTGCTTGCTTGCAGACAGTTTGCAGGTCTTTGGTGCATTTAGCTCTGGGAGCCTGCAGGCAGACTCTTGGCTCTATCAGTTGAAGATTGCCTCTGCAAATTGCTGTGCCACAAAATGCAAGAATGAAACTCTCTTTAGCAATAGCAAATGTCACCTCTATTGGGGAAGGCCAGCCTGCTGTTACTGTTTTGTTTACAGAGGCACAAGTTCTGATGGTGTCTGCTAAAATGCCCTTACCTTCATCCCTTTCCTTTTTATCCTGATGTGGTTGTTTGACTGCTGTAGATCAACAGAAGTAGAGACCCCTACTGCTGCCTTTTCTTAGTGTTATCAAATCATTTTTTTTAGAATACACTCTTTTTCAGTTCCTTCTAACTGCCAAACTTAATCCACTCAAGATGTATTATGAAGCAGCATCTTCTCCAGGTTTCTTGCTTGCTTTTGTGAGAAAACTTTGTTTAAAACAGCCCAGACATTTCTGAGAATAGAGGTGGGTGGGGGAAAAAAAAAAAAGGCTTGATTGGAAAACTCTTGTGCATCCTTGACCCCAAGGCCACATTCTTGTGTCTTTTGTTGTATCCATGATAAAGTATGTGCCTGGCTGTGCTTTAGCCTTTGAAATACTGCAGACCTTGCTAGAGCCCAGCAGAACCTGCAAGGGAAGGCTGAGCCTCTTTTGTGCTCTTGCCAGGCTACAGGTACCTCAGTTCTCAGCTGCAACACTTGCAACAGGGATGCTTAAACAGATTTATGTGCAATCCTGGATCTGGTGGAAACAAAGATTTTTTTTTTTTCTTAGACCTCGAGGTCATATTTTAGTGGCTGTGATACAGGTTTAAACTTTTTATAGAAAGTAATTCTGAGCATTAAGCAGCTGAGTTAAGTGCTTAGTCCTGCAGCCCTTACATGGCTATTCACGTGAAATGAATGATTGCATTTATGAATTGTAGAATTTATTACCCTCAACTGGAAAGCTTTTGAGGATGTAGGTTTTAGACTTGGCTCTTTTTCAGCATGATTGCTATAGCTGTTAGAGTCTCTTCCTCTCCTTTGCTGCTGTGGTGCTGTGCTTCTTAGCAGTGCTTTCTGTGTTGACTGTGTTCAGCTCAGTGGCAATGGCAGCATCTCCCATGGCCTCCAAGTCAGCTGCACTCTATTGCATAAGAGCTGTCTCTTTTTCCATTTACAGTTTCACTCACAGACTGCATGGAGTCTCTATGCTCTGCCAGTATCTCTTGGTTTATTTTTAGTTTAACATTTTCCATCTTTCTGCTTTCGTCCTTTTTGTGCTGTGCTGTTCTGATTGAGTTGTTTGTGATGCCACGGTCAGATGCTTCCTTTTTCCTTTTCTTTTTTCTTTTCACAGTGTAGCTGGGAATTTTTGCCTAGGTTCAGACATGTTGAATGCTTTCCTTCCATGGAGGTCACAGCAGCTCATGACCTGATTTACTTTTCAGTCACTGCTGTTTCCTGGATAAAAGGCCTTGCCTTGTTCTGACTGTGCAAGTCTGCTCTGTCTTGGCCAGGATGCTGTGGGGAGCTGGGAGCAGGCTGCAAGCTGAGCCAGGGCTCTGTTTGCTCCCTCATCCTGTATCAAGCTGCTTGTGCTCCCCTGAGCTCCTTCTCTGCTCCTATTGCATGCCACTCTCCAATTGGGTCCTGACAGAAAATATAGTTGCACCCTCTATTCCAAAATACACACATCAAAGACTGTCTTGCTATGCAACTGAGGCAGCTTTCAGCACCTCTTGTTGTTATTTTATGCTGTTTTTTTTATGACTAAACACTAGATTTCTTTCTGCATCCGATTCCTTTGGTGTTTCCTTAACAAGTTCTGTACATTCAAACATGTACGTTCTGGAGCAAATTCAACACAAGGTCCCAGAAGAAGCATTAAAGGTAAGGGTGTGTGGGTACAAAGGGTGTGTGGGTGCAGGTGTCATTTCTTTCGATGCTCTACTAATGATCATGCTGCCTGAAGTTTTAAAATACAGCAGCAAAATGATCCACATTGTTATGCTGTCCTTGGATTGAGGCTTGCCAAAACCCTACTTTGATGGCAGATGCATTTCCCAGTTATCTCGTCTCTGATCTCTCCTACTCTGCTGCTAACATTTAATCAAGTTATTTATGATCTTGTGGCAGCCAACAAAAAGGCTACTAAAGCCATAATGTGTTAAAGAACAGTCAGTCCATTAACTTCGGGGTGAAGCAGAGCAGAATTAGTTCTGCCCCAGGAGTTGAGAGTAGTTGCCTTTCCTCGAGCATGGTGACATTGACCAGCTCCGTAACACTTCCTCCAGCAGATTGAACTTTGCTTAATTTATTCCCATTATCTCATTTGTGCCTTCAAGCTCCACAGTCTTTCTTACTGAGCAGTCCTCAGAGTAAAGTGTTCTTTCAACAAAAATTTCAGTATCTGGAATAAAATATACAAGCATCTCCTAATGTAAGGCAGAAAAGCAACCCCAGAGGCAGGAAGGCTGTCTTTGTTGACCTGAGTTCAGTCCGCAGCATCAGGCATCACCTGTTGGCTAGCAGATGCTGTTGTCGTAGCCCTGGTTTCAGATTTAGGACTTGGAGAGGATCAGAAGTGTAACATCCAGGACTGGGTAAATGAATCTAACTAACTTTACTCAGGGGGTAATCTGGATGGGTACGCCCTTTTATTAATTTGCTTGTAATAAACCCACTTTTAATTAACCCATTTACTAAGCCGCAAGTTAATATGGAGTCTGCTCTAAGGCAGGCTCATTGCTTTCCTCACTGGTGAGAGAGTTTGGAGAGAAATAATTAAAATATATCTTAATTGCCTTTGCTGAAAAATTGATATAATGCAGTTGGGGCATGGGAAGAATTAATAATATTGCTTTAAGAACAAAGGGGATTTCAGAACTTGAATTCTGAATGGAAAATGTCATAAGTTCTGATTGTTCTTAGTTTACTCTTTAAAGGGTTTTCTAATTATCTGTTTTGCAGGGCTATGTGTCCTCATGGACTGTAACTGTCATTTATTGTCTTCCAGATGAGATATCTGAAAGCCTGACACTTGTGTTCTCTAGCCTCTACTTAGGTGTGTTTCCCATTTGTCACAGAGCTTAGCCACAGGATTTGCCTTTGCATTGCTACATTTGTGGGCCAGGGAGGTTATCGTTGCCACAAGCTGCAATGCAGATTGCATGGGCACTCTGCAGCTGTCCTTATGTCTCTGCAGCACGAGAAGTACACCAGCCAGCTTCAGATGAATTTCAAAAGCACGACCATGAAGAGGGTGGAGCAGCCCATGGAGCACAGTGTCTACGCTGAGTCCCCTCAAGCAAAGCTGGAGAAAGGAGAGAGGAAGCCAATTACAGGTAATTGCTCAGGAACCAGTTAGTCAAGATTCACAACAGTCAAAGTGTTGCTTGATCACTGCACTGGGTCAGAATCAAGTGTGGTGTGGGTTACACGGTGTAGAAACTGGTACTAAAGGATCATCTTTCTAAACCTCTAAGTATTTCACATTCTCAGTTTTAGGAGAAAAAAAAAAAATAATTGGCATGGTGGTTCACACATGTCTTGTTGCTGTGAATGCTGGAGAGCCTGTAGGCTGAGCAGGTTTGGTGAGTTCCTTGGCACCTGTCTGGTCTATTTTTATTTTCTTAATCATGAGCTGGTGTTTGAATGGAGGTGGTGACTCAGAATGGAAGATGTATGGCTGCTGCAGCATGGTACTGGCAGGCAAGTGAAGTGGCAGCAAGGGATTTGTTGCAGAGAGTCTTGTATGGTCTTAAACTACTGTATTTCCTAACACCTTGTTATGTGAGATCGAAACTGACTACTGACCCTGGGAGATGTTTGCTTTAGATTCATTGTTACCCGGCAGCATCATGTCCACTGGAAAAATTTATTGTATTGCACATTTCTCTACTTGTTGCTACCTTCCTTTGAAGACCTTTTTTTCATACCTGCATCTCCCTGTTCCCTCCCATGGTGGGCCAAGACATCCCCAGCAGTTTTTTCCCTGCTTCTGAGCTTCCTACCTCCTTTATGTACTGCCCTGGTATGTCTTCTCCCTGTTTGGCTCAGTTGTTGGTGGTTTTCTAGATCTTGATAATGCATGAAAAGAAGAAGAAATGTGGCTCTAAAGCATCCTGATGACTAATGACTGACACCAGAATAGCAGAGTGACTGGGAGCTGTCCATGTGCAAAATGGATCTGTTTGAGGAAGGGATAGGGAGAGGAAGGTGATGGGCAAAGATGAGTGAGACAGGATCTTGGAAGAGGTGATCTATTCATAGATACATCAGCTTTCTAGAAATGTGTACAACTTTGGGTAAATCCGTTAAGGTCTTTTTTGATACCTAATTGGAGTGGGTTGGCTGACCTTAATCTCCTTTATATTGTCTTTGTGAAAGTCCCTCTAAGCTGACATAATACACTAAAACAGAGTAATATTTCTCTCTCGTGTATTTGCCTGTGTTTTTTGTTCCCTGCAGCTGTGCAGGGAAATGCACACACCTATGTGTTTGACTGCTGTTCTCACACTGTAAAACCTTTGTGTGTTGATTTAGATGTGTTTGTGGGTTGCCCTCCCCCCTGAGAGGGGAGCATTTGTGACTTTGCCTCAGGAGCATGGGGCTGAAAGGGATGAAGTCGGTGATTAGCTGTGACACTGTGGAGGGTGAAAGGAGGTGAACCTCGCTAGTGGAGAGCTCTCCAGCTGTGCTGTGAAGGATGCTGTGTTCTGGAAGGTGTTGCTTGTCACTGGTCTGTGAGGTCCAGGTAGAACCAATTTGTGTTTGCTGCTGCTCTGTTGCATGAATATTCTCATTTTTATTCTTTCCACCTTCCAAAATACACACTGGCTGGTTTTAACCTACATAGCGTAAGTGGTTGATATTTTGGAAAATCTTCAAAGTCAGACATGGAGTGACACTTCATCAGGGTGACCCATTTCTCATCGTGTGGGGGTGGGGGAATAGGGTATGGGGTATAGGATATGGGGTATGGGGTATAGGATATGGGGTATGGGGTGTGGGATATGGGGGGACCAAAGGGTGTAGGGTGTGGGATGTGGGATATAGGATATGGGTGTGTATTGTGTATTTGTCATTGGTAGTGAGTGTAGACCGTAGCTTCAAGGCAAAAAAAAAAAAAAAAAAAAGGCTGTGTGAGCACTTTCTGAGAGCTAGTGATGAAGAATGCCACATGCAGTGGGGCTGATGGACAGATGTGAGAAATCTGAGGTGCTGCTAACCTGCTGAAAAGTGGGGGAATTCAGGATGTTTTGTTGGAATTATTTTGCTGGTTGGACTGAAGCCTGTGAAGCAGGAGAAGGAGCCTGAGCATTAAATCAGCGCCTTGCTCTCCCATGAGCATCTCTGTCACGTGAACAGAATGATCAGTGAGTTCCTTTTTCATCTGCAGTGTGACTAATTCACCTTGTCTACTGCTGTACACATGCACAGCTTTTCTGTGGTGCTTGGAGGAGTGGCTGCAAGTTAAATGATTAGTGGAAAGAGGAACGTTGTGTTCTTACGGGGAGAGGGCTTGCTTATGGCAGCAGAAAGAGGCTTTGGGGAGAGAGCTGTTTTGCTAAGCCCGTAGGTATTTAGGAATTTGCATTGACTAATTAAAGTAAGGTCTGGGGTGACAAAAGCCTTTAGAAGGATCTCTTCTCAGGGCCTGGCTGGAAAAGAGGTAGAGGCAATGCAGGCTTTCATGGAAGAGGTTTAACAAAACAATGCGAACAATTAGAGCTGCTTAGAAAGGGGAGGAGGTGAGGGGGTGAGGATAAAGAGATCCAGCAGAGGGAATTGGAAACAGCTCAGCCATTTATTCTTTATGCTGTTGAGCATGCAGCTTCTTGGTGTGTGTTGCCTGTAAGCAGGAAACCATCAGTCTTTGTGAGATGTTTTTAAGGCAAGAAGCTTGATACAGGGCCTGTGGTTGGATATTGCTATGTGTTAGAAAAGAACCCACTGTTTAGCTAATTAATACTAGAAATGGCCATCAGCTCTGGTGCTTAAAGCCTGAGGTGATGAGGAGGCCAGGTACAGCCTTCAGTTGTACCTAGCACTTGCATTCCCCATCTGTTGCTACCTGAGCTGAGGTGGGGGATGAGATAAGCTACTTTGTGGTCTGCTGTCAGCACAGGCTGATCTAAACTTACTGTAATTTTTTAAGCCCTCACAGGCTGATGGCACTAGATAATGCTGAGGCTGATGACTAACCTCTGAATAACTGCTGCAGGCCTGAGTTTCCAGGCATGGAGGCTGCCCACAGCTTCCGGTGAGATGGGCATTGCCAGCTGCAGGAGCAGGACTTGAGCTTCTCCTGGGATCCACAGAACAGTATTCCTTGCTGGGTTAGTGGCCCTTTTGCCAATCCTGTCTGTGTCCGTGCTGAAGTCTGCAGGGAGCAGTGGGAGTTGTGCCGCATTGTGGAGTGTTTCCATGGTCCTTGGCTGCTTTCCCCATGAGATCACAGTAATAGCTATTAAGCACACAGCTGCACCCTGGCCTCTAATGTAGGAGAGCAGTGGTGTATCTGCTTTTCATCTGTGCTAGTTTGGTGCTACCTGCAGCATGCTGAAGGCTTCATTGTGTAATTGGTACAAATAATTTTATGATTATCAGCCTGATTTGAAAGCCTCCAGGATTTTTGTGCACTCACAGTAGGTACAAAAGTCTCGGATTTAGGTTTGCCACATGCATGAAATAAGCACTGCAGTACAGAGCCAAAGAGCTGTTTTGTGTTTGTTCCTGTTATGTTTCAATTCTGTATTTTGAAGAGGAGGAAAAACGCAGAGATGTCAGAAATTAGTTTTAAAAATAGTTTAAAGCTAGATCATCATTTTTTTTCTCCTTTTTTCTCCCCAAGGCTCTTGCCTTAAGAAGCCCACTCTGCATCTTCCGAAGATGGACGTTTACCTTATTAATAATGAATCAAAAACAGCTTGACTTAGAGCAAGCTGGATTTCTCATGCTGGTGTTTTGACTTGCTGCAGACAGATTCAAAGCTGCGTGTGCTTCTGTCAGCACAGAAATCTGCTGTTGCTGTCTGTGTCCCTCTAGAGACTGTTTGAAGCTTTGCGTGGACTCAGGAAGAACACAGCCCTCATTCCTGTCCCAGCCTGGCAGCCACTTTCAAAGGCCATCAGACTGGTGCTGTAGGAGCTGTGCTCATCATGAAAGCTCTTTTGCCCATTTGCTGATGGAGAGCAGCATTAATGCAGACTTTCTGTTTTCCCTTTCATCACCTGGACTATGTTTTTGGTCCTGCCCTTATGTTGTTCTCTGTGATTCGCTTCTAAGTACGTCCTTTGCATTGAAGCAAATCATTCTCTGTTATTGTGGTGCCTCTTCAGATGATCAATAGTTCTGTATTAGTTTAGACTTGTAAAAACATGTGAGCATCCCTTGTTTTGTATTAGCACAGCCTTCACTTTTCCTTCTGAGTGGCTGCTCCTAAGACTGAAATCCAGGAGCAGAACGTGTGCATGTCAGTACTTTCCCTATATTACACTGTCACCCATAGCTTTGAGTGTGTCTGGCTGAATGCTCATGCTGACCTCAATTCAGTTATCTAAAAGGATGGTTTTCAGGCTGTCTGCCTGAATTGATGAGCCAAGGAATATGTCTAAATGAATTGGCACCATCTGGCCAGCCTGGCACAGAATGGGGAGGAGGTGGTAATGAGCTGCCATCAATTGGAGGAAGTCTCATATCATTAACGTGACTGTTAGTTCTCATTGGCCTTCCTTGCTTCACTGCTAACTCGAACAGGTCCTGAGCCTATGTGCATCTAAGAGCTCCCAGCTCACACCAAGATCCATCGGGCAGGCTGAGGCCATGTAGCAGTATGTGTGGCTCAGGACACAGGCAGATGTGCTGCTCTGGGTGCTGCTGGTCCAGGTTGAGGCTGCTACCCAAAACGCATCCCAGCTGGCAGTGGGTAGCCTGCAGCACCACTGCATATGTGGCTGCTACCTGGCCTGCACCTGTCACTGCCATCTGTTTAGCTGCCTTCCTGTGCCTCCTACCCCTTCTGTACAGCTCCATGGTGTTGGAGCAGGAGGAAGGCATCAGGGCACTTCTGCTGGAGGATAAGAAGGGCTGTGGTTTCTGACATGAGCAGGGTAGCAAATTCATGGAGCTCTTCTAGAGTCATGGATATTTTCTTCTGGCTCAGAATCATACCACGTATAGCAGAAGTTGAGAAAGAGGGCGTCTGCATCGCTTAATAATGTTAATCAAAAAGCACATTAACATGAAGGCTCTGTGGAAACATTAATTGCTCTTAAAGTATTGAAACTGTCCTCCAGTAGCAAGATACTGACTCCCTGATTTCCCATCTGTGCTTTTTGCAGTCTTCAAAATGAAGTTTGTTTGTTTGTGGTGGCTGGGAGAGGGGAGGAAGGGAAAATAACTGATCTGATGGGTTGCACAGAACACACACTGCTACAGACTGTTGCTGGTGGGGCTTGGGAGCCTCATGTCACGGCCCTCAGTGTGTGCAGGGCGTGTTCTCAGTGGCTCCTGCGCTGCTGGAACCCTGCGTGCTCTGCCCAACCACAAGCATGCTGGGTTTGGCCTTGTGCTGGCTTTTGTCAGAGAGAGAATTTGGGGAATTTCCAAGCACCTATTAGGGCTTTTTTAGGCTGGTGGAGGAAATTTGAGAAGGTAGAAGTAGCTCATTACTCTGTAAATTCTTTTTCTTTCTTTAATCCTTCTTTTTTTTGCTTTACATGCAATCCCAAAATTCCCCCTCAGAAGGAGGGTCTGATCAGGGTTGACCTAATTTCCTAGCTGCCTCCTCCCCTGCAGCAAAAGGCAGTAGTGACTCCTGCGTCCTGCAGATGTAAGGCGCAGCAACTGGGAAATTTTTTCCTGGAGTATATAGTGGGCTGTCTTAGCTTCTGCCCCTGTGAAAGCTAAGCATTTCCACCAGCAACTGGAAAGAAATCAGTATGGAGCTGGTCAGATTTGATCATACAAATCTGAGACAAGTGTCCTTTATTTCTTGGGGGTTAAGCCCCTGATAGAGATGGTGATCATCCATTGAAAAGTGTGCCTGAAAGCAGTGGGCACAACAGATCCCACGTGGGTGTGGGATGTGGATCTGCTCCGCAAGTCTGAAGAGTGGCTGAGAGCTCTCTGTCAGCTTGCAGGACAGATCTCAGCCTAGCAGAGCCCAATCCAGTCTTTGGGTTCCTCTGCTCTTTGACAGGTTTCTGAATAGGTTGGTTGTTTTTTTCTCCCTCTTTTTGGAGTGGTTTACCCATTTTCAGCTATGACACACATTGCTTGGCAGTTGCAGTTTATTCATGGTGAGAAATGATTCCTCCTTTGAACTTTCAAGGGTTGCCTACATAATGGGAACACAGTTTATCTTCTGCACATTCTAGGCAGAACAGAGAGTAATACTTCAACTCTTTTGATCCTTGGTGTGAAGGGAAGCAGTGCCTTTAGTTTTGAAATATGAAAATCTCTTGAAAAGGTCCTGTGGGCTGGAACTGTACAGCAAAACTTTTGCCTATGGTCTGTTAAAATATAAGCGTATGCATTTCTGGAACTGTTCTAGAAAAAGAAAGGCAGTGGTCATTCGGTCTGGGTAGCTTTATAAACAGCAACATAAAGTCGGGCTTCTTTTTTTCTTTGCCTCTTAATTCCCCCTCCCCTCCTCATTTCCTTCATGCCACCAACTGCTGTCTGTGCTGGCCCTATTAAAGCAGGGAATGCAGAGTGGCAGGGCTGTGTGTGAGGGCTGCTTGGCACAGGCAGAGTGTGATTATAAAGCCATGAGCTGAGCAGCAGCTGGTGGTAGGAGCCCAGCTGTGGCTTGGGCTGGTGGCTGGGCTTTGGCGTGTTCAGTAAAGTGTGTGCTGATGGAGAGAGTGAGCGAAACTGGGGTGTTAACCTCAGTCCCCAGCCTGTACTTGCATCTCTATCACCTCTAGCTGAAAGAAGAAAAGCTACTTCATTTGCCTCTCTGAAACTATTATAAATAACAATGACTATTACCACAGGTAAATTGAGCTGTATTCTTTTTTTTACTTGAAACATGAACAGGAGCAGCCTAAGGCAGTGCCAAAATACAGTGTTTCATAGTAGACAAAGGAAGAAGAGGTGAATCAGTTCTTTCCGGTACCTGTTGGTGCAAAGAACTGCTGGTCTTCAGTGAGTGCTCTTTGAGTAGAGACAGTGATTGAAGTCTGGCTCTTCTGGAAGAAATATCTCCATGAGAAAAAATCTCTGTCCTGCAGTGACTGTGTAATCCGCTTGACTTTATGCTTTTGAGAGCAAGAGTTTGCTTCTGCTTTATGTGTGTGTAAGGAGATGGTTTTACTGTTTTCCCTAAATTTGTAACTCTTCAAGAATTTCCTGTTGTGGGATGTGTGTCATTTAGAGTGGGAGGAGTGAGTAGCTGGAGAAAATCCCTGGCCTGACAGCATCCTACTCTGTGGTGGAGCAAAAAAGGGCATAGCTGAAGTCTTCCTAATTAAGATCAGGATAAAAGTCCAGTTTTCACCTGAACTGCAAATAAGTTTGTGGTTGGCATTTTGTAGTCTGTCCTGCTGAAAATTGTCCACTTCCTATGAATAATACGTCTGAAGAGGGAGAAAAGCCAGTTTTTGGGAATCACAGCTTTGAAAGAGTGGAGGGAGGTGGAGTCAGCCTCTTCTGGCTGAAAGTGAAAAAGGAAAGGAAAAAAGCTGAATACTCTCATTATTATGTATAATTTGCTGTTGTAATAACTGCAGTGTAACAGGTACATGATCTTATCTGATCCTGCTATTTTTCCCCTTTTGGCTTGTGCTTGACTTCTGTGAATATCTTTATCTTCTTCCTAGAGACCAATAGTTATCGCACCCCTCTTTATGGGCAGCCCTCCTGGTGGGGGGAGGATGATGCAAACAATGAGGACAGAAGACAAGAAGAGCATTACTCAGGTAATGAAGGTGATTTTGTGGGGAAAAGAATGGGGGTGGAGGGTGACAAAATTTCTGCTTATTTCTTATCTTTCTTGTGTGAAGTCATCCTGCTTTAGGGCTTTAATTGCCACTTTTTTTTGTACTTGTTTTATTTGCACGTTGCTACGTGTAGATTGCTGCTGATGAAACCAGGATAAGGAAAAATTAAAACGGTTCCATTACAGTAAGTGAAGGTTAAAAACAATTGTGGAGTAACTTAGTATGTATGAGAAAGGCATGCAAAAATCTTAAAATGCCACCAGGCACATAGGTTCTGCCAAAATGTACATGTGTGTATGCACACGCTTGTATTTAACTCTTTAGAGAACAGTGGGAGTAAGGGTAAAGTGAATATGAGAAATATTGGTCATTGGAAATCACCCATTTCAGTGAAGAGGCCAGAGTACAAAACAGAACTGATATTTTTTCTTTATCTGAAGTACCTAAATGAACTAATGTTTGTTAATTTAATTTTTTTTCCTTTTGTAGAAAGATCAAAAGAGATGACCCAGCATGAAGAGGAACTGAACGGTAATATTTCTACCTATAGAGATTCCCAAGAACAGTCTGTGTTTGCCTTCCGGAGGGAACCAAGTTATTTTGAGATCCCGACTAAAGAATTTCAGCAGCCATCAAAATCTCCAGAAACACAGGTCCACGAGATCCCAACAAAGGATATTGATGCCATAGTAGCCCCAGTTGTGCAAAGCCATGCCTCTTTCACCATTGAATTTGATGATGGAACCCCTGGTAAAATAAAGATCAAAGATCATGTAACTAAATTTTCGCTCAGGCAGAGAAGGCCTTATAGTAAGGAACCAGCTCACACAGAAGTGATGTCAGCAGAGAGCAAGGTGGCTGACTGGCTTGTCCAGAATGACCCAAGCTTGATCAGACGGCAGTCTCCAGGGGAAGATGTGTACAGCACCAAGAGTGACCTGCCGGTTCATGTGAAGACACTTAAAGGTGAGTGAATGCCTTGTTATGTGGACAGTGTTCTCTGTTGACTGCAAATGCAACATACTAAAGGGGGTAAATCCTCTGCCAGCTGAGCACTGTGCTTGTTTATCTCTGCACCATCTGTAAATAATGAAGAATATTTCTCGAATGATTGTTAATGGTTTTGAACCCATCTAGTGGGCTCTTCACCCGGTCCTGAAGTAATGTGTGACGCTGGCCTGGGGACTCTCTAATCTGGTTCCTCCACTTGTATATCCCCATCTTGGCAGGAGCAGTGATTGAGAAAATGATTTTAAGTGTTCGTAGTCATTTTCATGTGATCTGGCAAGCTAGTGAACACAGGTACACAGTCAGTTTTCTTTTTTTGGCTTCTCCTATCTGAAAGACTGACTTTTCTTTTTAGCTGAAGATTCTGAGTGTGATGTATCCTGGAATTATCATGCAGTTACCGGAACCACTTGGTCCGATGACCAGAGGTCTTGACATAGAGATTGGTAATAGACCTAAGATATGTGCGATCACCAGTGGAGGAAATTGCGTTTGTGAAAGAAGGTTTCTTAAAACAGAACTTCTCTGAACCCTACCCTTTTCAAAAATGCCAAGTTTTGTGGAGCTATGTCCTGTTAACTGTAGTACTATGAGGAATTCTTTGGAGATTTTCAAATGTAGTTTTGAACCCAGTTCTTAGTGCAGATGATGGGAGTTGCACGATTCTCCAGGTGACTGTGAATGTATTTCTCAAGATCTGAGTTTGCTTGGATGCCTCTCTTGAGTTGTGCACAGAAACAGTGAAGAAAAGACCATGATTTGTTGCATTCACGCTGTCTTTTGTATTCAGCTTTTCCAGCCTTGCCATTACTACATTATGCAGACTTGGACTGTTGAAGCCATGTTGAAAGTTAGCAGACCTACCTGTGCTTAAGGTTGTTTTATAGAGAATGTCATGTTTTACCTCAAAGGAATATTTGTTCAGTGTTGGAGAATTGCTCTCTTTCAATATGAAGAGTTTTATCTATTGTGCTTCCAACTTACTGCTCTGGTGTATAGTTTTTTAGAAGCTCATATAGTTGAGAAGGTCTCAACTATCCAGATATGATTTGGCATGACATAGGAATTGCACTGTTTTGCTATCATTATTCTCTAATATAGGACAGTATTGAGGTGGCCTGTCTGAGCTTTCAGCGTTGTCTTGACTGTTTGATAGAAAGTATGGGTTTTGTTTGTTTGTTGACTTGCTGAAGAACATAGTCTGTTAGGGATTCAGATGTGCTTCTGTCACTCTACTTTCTCTCTTGGGAGAAACTAGAGAGTTAGGCAGCTCTTCTTAGGATTGTCTTGGGCAATGCATGAGAGGGTACCAGGCTGGCCATGCTTTACAGTCCATAAGGCATGGAAAGAAGCTGAGGTAACTTAATGCATAATTTGCATTTTAAAAAATCAACTATTTGGACATTTGATTAAAAAATACAGTGTTGGTGGTGGCCTCAGGAGTTTATGTACCTCTGCTTTGGCAGAGGACAGCCTGTCATTTATCTGCGATAGTTGTGTAGCGTGTTCTTCTTGTGGGGCTAATTTTGAAGATGTCTTGGAGGCTACAGCTGGCTGCTTACCAGGTTTGCGCCTTTTGGATCAGAGACAGCCCTTGTTTGGTGTTCTTTAATAACATTTGTTCCATTTATTATCAATGTAAGTATGTAAAGCCTAGTATTGAGAGTAGGGAGTTCAGGTTTGAGGGGATGTGCGTGGTGTTCTGCTGGGGGGTCTGTAGACACTGGGTGCTTTTACTTGCATCCTCGCAGTTTTGCATTCAGCAGGGTGTTAGTCAAGACCCTTTAATTTAGGAGCTTTCCCTGGCAAACACAAGGCTTATCAACCTCAAGGCACAATGCAAAGTCTACTGGCTTTCTTCAGGAAGGTGTTAGGAAACTCCTCAGAGGACTGACTCCTGAGTTGCATGGTTCTTGTATTAAATTCTAATCTTTCACAGTTAACTTGAGATAATAAATGGTCTTCATCTTGTGCCTGGAGAACTTGCAAAGTAGGTTTGAGCAGTTTTCCTCTCAAACACGTGGTATTTTAGCCAGTATATCTTGCTGCATGTTACAGTCGAGAGTGCAGAGGCCTCTTTCCCCATTCTCCCGATGACAGGTTCCCGGTCGTTGACTGAATCAAGTTGTGTGTCTTCACACCCTTTTCATTCTCCAAAAAAAGGTTTGTGTTTGGTCTTTTTTGTTTTGTTCTAACATACTCTGAGGGTCCTGAACTAAGGTGCTGAGGTGCAGAGCATCCCTGATACAAAGGGAAGGTTGTAAAGATGCTAGTCAGTAACATATGTAAAAAGAAGGATAAGCTTACTTTAAGTTTAGAATGATTTAATGTTTGCGTGGCTGGTGACTGGATGGTGTGATTTCTGGGGTGTCATGGTGTGATCCCTTTTCTATTAGCTGTTTGTTTATTCCTCCTTGTAGCGAGGGGTAACTTGGGTGCTCAGAGGTGCATGCGCTCATAACATGCTGACCTGGTGGCTTTGTCGTCATTGGGATTTGGTTCTGTGGGATGCAGTGCACAGGGTTTGTTTACTGATTCTGTAGAGATTTCTGCTCTGTAACATAAGAGTTCAAGATCACCTCATTTTGTTCTGCAGGAATGGGCAGAGTCATAAAATAAAGTCGTTGCTTTTATTTAAATGGCAAAAAAAAGAAAACACATTATGTTTCTAAAATAATCTGCTTTAGAAAATCTAAATCCCTTGCTGTTAGAATGATTTCTTGCAATATTTTGCAACAGTTTGATAGCCAACCAGGGAAAAGTTGACTGGGAGACGACATCCTTCTCTCTTCTCTCTCTTCCCCCCCCCCCAAAGAATGCAAAGCCTGTAGCATAGTAGGTGTCTTTTGGAGCGGTTTATTCCTCTAGGATTTCTTCTTTTGACTGAAATCGAGGTAATGACAGGGTCGCAGAGTCTGAGAGCATGAATGTCAAATATGCACCACTTGTTCCCAGGCAATCGGCACGAGGACGGGACGCAGAGCGACTCAGAAGACCCCGTGGCACCCAAGGCAGAGAAGGAGCCGACGACGGGTGGTGAGCGGGTGACGGAGCAAGCCAAGCTGCAGCGCCAGATGAGGCGCGATCCCCACGAGATGCTGCACAACAAGCAGGCGTTTGTTATTGAGTTCTTTGAGGACACGCCAAGGAAGAAGCGCTCGCAGTCCTTCACACACAGTGCTCACTCCTCTCAGAGCGACACCGATCCTGGGCTCAAGGCCAAGGTTGAGAAACGCAAGAACACAGTGCCAATGGAGAAGCAGGGCAGCGCGGTGCCACCATCCCATGTTGGGACACAAGGGGGCAAAGCCACCAACAGCTCCTCTGGGACCCAAAGAGCTAGTTCCTTCAAGAGGGAGAAGACAGAGGAGCGAATCAACTCTTCATCCTCCTCTGCCTCCAGAGCATCAGGCAGAGCCTATGGGAGCGTTGGGAGGAAGTCTAAAATGGCTCAGGATTTTATGGCTGAGTACCTAAGGGAGACAGCTCAATCTGGGAAGGCAGGCTCTGAGAAACCAGCACCTCAGCCTGTGCCGGCGGCCCCACGTGTGGTCATATCTTCAGAGCCAGAGCCTGCCTCTGCTCCATCTCCAGAGCTTAAGTCTGCCCAGGGCAGGAGGAATGATGAGGAAGACAGTGTGAGCGAGACTGGCACATACACCATTGAGACAGAGTCACAGGATAAAGAGGTGGAGGAAGCACGAAAAATGATTGATCAGGTAAATGTTGCTTTTCTGTGCTTAGTTTGTGAGCTGAGAGCTGAGGGTTTGGGCTTATGCAGCTATTGCAGATGGGTCCAGCTTTACTGGATGCAGCAGTTGCCATGAAGGGTTGCTCCCTTTATTGCTTGGGTGCAGAGGGGCTTTATAAAAGGCTGGGAAATCATCTTGGCTGACCTGTGTTAAGGATTGATGCCAGCAAACTGTGAGGATAGTCTTCAAAAAAAAAAAAAAAAGTTACAGACAAAAACTCACCAGATACAAGAAAGCAAAGTAAGCCATCAGCGAAGAGCTGTCTTGCTTCCAAAATGAGATTCGAATGCTAAACTGCAAGTGGGCTTGCCATATGTTTAGAGGGAAAGACCAGCAGTATTGAGATCAGACTGATCCTGCTGAGTGCTTGGCTGGGAGTAGCTCTGCTCTCGAGGACTCTCACAAGCCTCTTTCTTGGCCTTATATCACCACTGCTATGATTACGGGAGCTGCAGCTCATTGCTGCCGCTGCCATCTGTAGGCCAGAGGAAAGGCAGGCCAGGGGCTGATTGTCTTCATCATTTGCAAGCCTTGGCGGTAGGTGATTCTGCATTTAGCTTGGCTCCATTAGGAAAATGGTGCTTGCTGGCAGGGCAAGTGGCAGCTAGTTGAGGTAGCAAAGGGTGTGGTCTAGGGCAGAGGCAATCCTACATGGATCTATACTTGTTTAGATTGTGCAAGGTGAATGATAGCCTTACAAAAAATAAATGAGGGTGAGGCTTAATGAAACCCACCCAACTAAGCAACCCCAGGGCAAGCCAAAGTTTGGCTTCAGATTTAACTTTCATCTGCGGTCTATTATGAAAACAAAACTGGCAAGTTGCTGTGAAGAGTTAGTGAAGCGTGGGCAGAAGGATGGACTGAGGTTTAAAGGGAGCCTTGAACCTGGGTTTAGAGCTTTGTATAGTGTTTGTGAGCCTAGATCTGGTCTCCCTCATTTGCTTGTTATGCTTCTTCCTTATGTCTTGTTTGAAATGTGATTGAAAGTTTTTGGGGCAGGTTATTTCAGCCATAGGAAGGCTCTAGTCCTGACATAATGGTTAATTGCTCTGAAAAGGAAATACAAGAAAATACCACAAAAATAGAATTATTTCTGGGTAGTAGCATGGCAGGCTTGTTCCTTGGGTAGGTGAGCTGACCAAACTCTGCTCATCACTGCCATAGGCTTAATGTGGTGTAGATCTGCTGTTTGGGAAATATCTCATGCCAGACCTCTGTATTTCTGTCCAGGAAGAAGGATGATCAGGATTTTGGATTTGCTGAGATTCTGGGGTGACCCATGACCCACACACATACTTTTTTATTTTTTAAATGGAAGTGAGAGTGGAGAATTTTAGTCTGTCCAAACCTGGATACCCTCAATGGTGGCTTCTTCCTCTGAATCTATAGTCAGGAGAGAGAGACGAGCCTTTCTGAGGCCTAGATCTTGTTTGCCCACGTAGGAAAGCTGTTTATCTCCAGAGAGTCTGGCACCTACCTTAACTACCTGTCTTGGCAATACATTCATTCCCAGGTCCCTTCATGGCTGTGTAAGGCTACTTTTTCTCACCCCAGTCTCTGCTACAGTCTACAGCTCACCTCAGAAATAGAGCTTTCCAGGTTTTTTCCCTGATTCTCCATGAATTAGATGGTAAATAGCTTTCCTAACCCTCATCCTAAATTTCTTATGGCTGAAAAAGGGCTCCGCCAGTGAAAGCTACTACTGCTAAATGCAGTGCACCAAAATAATGAGGATGAGAGAAGATGTGGGTGTGAGTGGGATTCTATGAATAAATGTACTTAAGGATGCAGAGTAGAGAAGAGAGTAGTTTTCTCAATTTGTATGGAAGGATTTGCAAGTGTTTCTGGCCTTTTGGGATCATGGTTTGTGTGTGAATAGCGCTTTGTGGATTGCAATTTGGGCTAAGATTTCTTTATCTGTTTTTAATCTTTCCTATGTAAACATCTTTTCAGGTTTTTGGTGTTCTTGAGTCGCCTGAATTTTCTAGAATATCATCAGCTTTTAGACCAGTAATAAAAGGTGAAAAAGACGACTCTGGTTCTCATCAGCATTTAGTCAGTGAAAACGGCACTTGTCAGAAGTCACCCTTGCTCCAGGCATTTGCCTCAAAAGCTGTGAGTGGGTCTCAGGCTGACATGCAGGTACGGGCAGTCCAGGTGGATCTGGTGGCTTGGTGAATACTGATTTTTCTGGATGAATGGAAAGGTGATGCATGAATCGGTTTCCATTTTGAACAGACTGGGTGATGTGTGTATGAGAGGAGAGATTGTGTGGCTGTGTTTTGCAGGCAGTCTTTCTGATGCCACATCCCCACCTTGTTGTAGATGTCTGCAGCATCTCAAGGAAGTCAGAAGTGGGTGTCAAGGTGGGCAAGTCTTGCTGACAGCTACTCTGACTCTGGATCTGTCTCAGGACAAGCTGATGGAGCTCCAGGTAAGTGTCATGCTGATGTTACATTTTGGAGGTGACTGAATCTAAATCAGGGTGATAAGAAAAACAGGAATTATAGCCTTCCGTGCGTCTGGCTGCGGTTTATTTTCTGTTTTATGTTATGTTTTTTGAGGGTGGGAAGGACAGAGTGAATTGTTCCCTGTGGACTGAAGATAGAAAGTGCTTTTCGTTTGCATTTCAGAGTCATCCAAGAAGTTCTTAGGTGTTATATTTGGCATGGCTAAAAGGCACACGGGAAACAGAAAGGTTGTAAGGGCCTTGGGTGTTAACTAGCCCTGGGTAATTCTTTAGACTGCCTTCTGATGCTAGAAAAAAAAAAAAAACCTTTGCAAGTTGTCCTGGAGCATAATTGCTGACTGGTTCTTTTTTGGGTGTGTTTCTCCCATGTCTGGCTATGCTGAGAATTTTAGGTTGTTCTGGGGTTTGTCAAGAGGCAGGTTTGAAATGTGGAGATAAGCATAGAAAACTCAGAATGGAGAGAGAAAGGTAAATGAGAGGAGGTCAGGTTCTCATTGCAGCTAGGAAGACAGCCTACAAACCCCCAGGTCCTGTTGATGTGTGAGAAAATGAGAACAGAGCTTTGTTGGCTTCTGTAAATGCTTTCACCTTTTTCTTCTTTGTTGTTATTGGAAATATTTGTTGTTACCTTTATGTCATCAACAGCTACAGACAGATGAGTAAAGCTTAGAATGGACCTTTGTTTTGGAGGTTACTGTCACTGTTTTCACCCCATGTGAGAACCAGAGCGTTTACAATATTACCATAGCCATCTAACCAGTCTTCCAGGTATTTAAAAGCAGGATAAGATAGAAAGTCCTGACCAGCATAGGAAAAATAAGAGTCTTCTTTCTATGAAATTCTTTTGTGCTGACAAGAGCACCTTTGCTGGAGCAGTGAGCTCTTATTCAGAGTTTCTTCATTATTAGCATCTTTCTCCTGAGACTTTGCTGTGAGATACAATCATACGAGAAACACCACCTATTTAGTCTTATGGGCTACATTATGTGAAATGGCACTTAAAGCACTACTGCAGTGTTTTGGCTGATAATATTTCGTGTCCTTCATGTGGCCTGATCTTATGGTAGATCAGTGCCAGCATCCTCATGGGATGACCTTTAAGCATTTGTGGTTGTACTGAGAGGTAGATGATGGGAAAATATCCAGACAGGATTTCAGACTGAGAGGGAAGGTATTGAGTAGTCTGATCCAGCAAAGAAGTATACCTTTACATTGAGTATTTTTTATTGATAAACTTGCAGAGACTGAGAGAAGCCTGGCCCTACTGGAGTTTATTTTGTACAGCCTTAGTTCTGAGCACAACTTGTGAGTGCTTTTGTGGCCTTGCACTTTGCAGGATCAAACTCTTAATTAAAGAAAAAACAAACAAACATGTTGTACAGCAAGTGACTTGTGTCCATTTAACTCCCTTCAGAAAGTGGTGTAGCCCCAAAATCTGGGGAACCCGAAAATGCTGTGCCCTTGAGAACAAGGCGTCTTCTTCCCCAGCTTCCACCAAGCGATAAATCAGAGAGCCCCACACCCACAGTTTTGGTCTGCCAGGAGTCCTATTCCGAGGTTACGAAGAGAACCATTGTGAAGGATCACTGTGTGGAAGCCTACAGCGATCACGGCAGCCGCCTCTTCATTCAGGAAGACTTAGATCCAGATAGCCTCAGCGATGCCAGCAGATCTGATGATGGCTTCAGCTCAGAAAAAGGCAGAAAGTATAAAGAGAACAATAAAATGCTAGAGCAGATGGGGGAAGAGACAAAATCAGAAAGCCGGCAGCCAGGAGCCCCCCGGGTTGCAAATGTGAGAGCTGTGAGTGAGACAATTTCTACTTCGTTCTACATTGGTGATGACAGCAGCGATGTGGGGGTTCCCTCCAAGCTCTCTCTGAGCGTGGCCCATGCTCGAGCTGACAAAGAGGGAAAGGATCAGGAATTTTCCTTCAAGTCTACTGGCATGCCTGTTCCTGGAAAGCCCTTGGGCAAAGATGTCAGTGCTTACATTAACGCAGCAGGAAAAATGGTTATTTCTGTTCATCAGAGTCCTCAAGATCAGGAAAACATGGCAGGAAAGGAAATATCTTTTGTTAGACAGGAAAGTTTTACCAAAGATAAATCAAGCAGTGCTGTTCCTCAAAACAAGCTTCCTCATATTTCAAGTCACCCTCTGCTTAAAGATTTAGAGGCTGTTCGCTCAAACCGTATGGACTTTGGACAGGACACTCATCTTCTTCTTAAGGACACTGAAACTGCCTTGGCGGCGCTGGAAGCCAAATTACTTGGTCAAAGCCAAAAGCTGGAGCCCTCGGAAACTGCTGGTCAGCTGGAGGACTCCCTGTCCGGTGACTCAGATGTGGACACAGCCAGCACGGTCAGTCTGGTGAGTGGCAAAAATGTCCCCACAAGCGCCCCAAAACGCAAAGCAGTGGCGAGCTTGCAGAAGGAGAAATCTTCCTCCTCACCATCCATCCAGGACCAGTGTGGGCAGCCCAGTGCACGGGACAGGCTGACAGAGAAGCGGAAGGCCAATGTACCAGAGGCTCCGAGGTCTGTGGAGGCCACCAAGCGCTTCCAGATGAAGCGGAGTGCTGGGACTCGGGGGTCACTTGATTTTACAGATGATGAGAGAAGCTCAAGTCTGCCCTACTTGCCAGCCCCTGATGCGGTGGTGTCTGACCACGAGCACTCGGTGCCCCGACCTGCTCCCAGAAGGAAGCCTTTTACTCAGGCTGCCAAGGAAGATCACAGCAAAACAACGGCAAATGTGCAGAAGATCCAGCAAGTTCTCACCCGCTCTAACAGCTTATCCACCCCGCGGCCCACGAGGGCCTCAAAGCTGCGTCGTGCCCGGCTGGGAGATGCTTCAGACAACGAGTGTGTTGATACTGAGAAAACAGCCTCCAACCCTGAAGCCGCTGCTGCGGGCTCCAAACAGTCCACAGAGACAAAAAAGCTGTCCCGGCTTGACATCCTCGCCATGCCGAGGAAACGGGCAGGATCATTTACGGTGCCCAGTGACTCTGAGACAGCACAGTCAAGGACGGGGTTTTCTGGCCGGAGCGTGGAGTCCTATCGGAAGGCGACTGTGTCGGAGATCCGAGCCGCAGCGAGGAAAACAGCAGCCGCTGCCTCTGCCAAGCAGCCGTTCAGTAGGAGCCGCTCAAGCAGTGTCAAGTATTCCTCCACCTCCAGTAAGTGCCTTTTTGTATTGTCTTTTAGATTTATAGGCTGGACAGTGCACTGTTTGCAATGCTTCCTGGGCAAAGGGCTTTGGAGGCAACAGAGCAGCTCTTATGTTCTGGGAGATGTTAATGGGGTGTCGTCCATGAGGATGCTGCAAACAGCAGTTTGGCTTTTTTTTCCCCTTTCCCCCCCTTTCCCCATTTCTTGAGCAACCAGCTACCATCTAGCAGGAGAATGTTAGCCTGTTGCTGTTGTTGAAAAAGATAGAGTTTAATGCCTTTCCAAATCAGTTCTTTGACTTCTAAGATTGGAAATTTGCTGCAAGAATGCTAGTAGTGTTTTTGATGACAGTTAATGTCCAAGGTAGGTTTGAAGGCATCTGAAACAGCAAAACAGATAAACGTCCATGGTTTTTGAAGGTTGTTACCATGTTGTTCCTATAAAGGCAAATGTGGAATGGGACGCTTCACTTAGGTTGCTCCAAGAGATTCCCTCTGCTGAGTTCTTTCATGCAGCTCTGCCATAGGTAAGAAAGATGCACAGTTGATAGCCACAAGAATGAGGTTTGGGGGGCTCTCTTGCCCTCTAGCTGTGTACTCAGCAGCATTGTGAACAAACTCTCACAGTATCAACATTTGTCATATTTAAATCAGCCTTTAATTAAGAGGTGGGAGGGGACAGTGCGAAAGACAGCTCTGGCATGGTAATTGGCAATTGGTAACTGTCCCAGATATTGCTTACACCTTTGGTCTAAGACCTGCTCTGTGCCCAGGCTCCTTAACCTACCATGAATATGATGAAACAGATGTGCTCAGGTTTTTAGGAATGACTGGGGTGGCTAAAGGGACAGGAAGAACCCCACTGGTTGAGTTTTTTAGGCCTGCTGAAAGGGATGCTATTTTGAGCAGATCTGTGTTTTTATGAAGTTTCTTCAGAGCACAGGATGTGTTTTGTTCATTTTCTTTCATACACTTGAAATAAGCATCTTTCTTGCACTGCTCATTTTTATTGCATGCTAAAAATGTTATTTGCTGCTTGTTTTAATTTTGAATTGTTTCAGCACATCCAGCTTTCCTTTATTTTAATGATTTTTTTCTTATACATTTGCATATGCATGTAAATCAGAACGTGAATAAGCTAAGAGTATGTACAGTCTCTCTCCTGCCTTTTCTGAAATGTTTCTACTGTTGACTTTGTGTTAATAACAAACTCAAATCAAGATGCCGTGGTCCAAGTTTTCCAAACAGGAGGTACTCTTCACATCTCCCCGCCTTTGGACCACAAACTTCATATGATTTGGAGAAAAATGATAAGAGCTGGCCAGTTCTTGTTTTTTAAATGAATTGGTTTTTGATTTCTGGAGCTTTGTAGCAGCATCCTAACACCTTGTGCATAGTTGCAGCAGATGACGCTAATCTTTTCTTTCAATTAGTTGCTCTTAAAATACTAACCTCCTAATTCCTTGATAGGATTGTGGACCTTGCACAAGCTCTAACTAGGCATCTTTGTGCTTTGTAGTGCTGTAGCAGGTGTGTGGTGCATGTTCCTGTACTGTTACAGACACTGTGAATGAACGCCCAGGGCCTAATTTCTGGGACAGAAACAAAAGGTTGCACTGTTCTGTCAAGGGGTTTTTGAGCATGACACAATAACCCTTGAAAATACCAAATTTCAGGCCTTGGAAGTGAAGAGGCTGATGTGGTTGATTGATTCAAGGGTTTCTTAAAGCGTTCAGCTACCCACTATGGTTTCCCGCTGTCCCAGTGGGAGAAACGTAATCTCACCAACAGAGGAGCAGAATGAAGTATCTGCTGTGGGGACAAGAGATGTCAGTAGGTTGTCAGGCAGTCCAAGGTAACTGTGTGAAAAGCACAATGACAGAATAATCCAAGTTACCAGTTCGGAAAGAGAAGAAGAATTGATTCCCCCCCCCCCCCCCTTGCTCCTCTGTGTACCTGTTTTTTTTGCTCAGAGTAACTTGAATGGTACTGAAGGGCTTGATTCTAATTTCCCTTGGTGTATAGAGTTGGTAAATCAGGCCCTTAGTTTTTAAATCCCTGTTCAGTGACAGGTGACCTCTTGATTCTTGTTTTTTAATATATATAAAAACAGAATACTTTTCTGCTGGTGGAATATGAACTGATTTTTTTTATATACGTATATTTTTAATCCCAAACCAAGATCTTTAAATAGCTGAGATAACAATGTCTAGGAACATGTTTTTTTTTCTCTGTGTTAACAGTCTGTAGTTTCTATCTCCATCTTTTATGCCAAATTCATTATTTTTGTTTGCATGATTAATGATGCTGTCTTCATTCACTTTCAGAGGTTTAGCATTACGATAATCTTCGTAACACAGTGAAGCTTTCAGGTGTTGTAATTTTAAATAACCTGGCTTTGTGTCTGGTGGGTCTTCATTCTCCAGAGAAAGCAAAAGGGAATGAAGCACAATCTGAGTGCATAGAGATGGGGGAAATCTGGGAGTCACATTTTTAAGCAAGGAGTTTACTGCTGAGCTCCTCAATGTTTGCCATGCAGTGAGGACCTGGATCATCTCAGAACTGGCTGGGACAAGTGGGTGCTCTGCTTGGCTGCAGGGCTTGGAGCCAGTCCTGCCTGCCTGCCCATGTGGGTGCTTTTTGTGGGGTGTCATTAACAGAGGTGGCGAGGCAGGAGACCAATGTGGGGTGCAGACAAATAGAACCACACATTGCATCTCTCCCTCACTCAAAAAAAAAAAAAAAAAAAAAAAGCAAAGAAAAAAAAAAGCAAACCTTCTTTTGCTTGTTGGTAAAGTGTCCACAGGCTTGAAAATGGGGCTCCCTCCAGATAATGATTTCTGTGGGATTGTGAGGAGTCTGAACTGTGTGCTGCTTACATACGGAGCTTCTGTGCATGGAGAACCAAGGCTGTGGTGCTAATTAAATGCATTGGAGCTGTTAGCAGTCATTCTGCTTTTGCATTCGAATTTCCCCCTCCAAATTTGTATAGTGGATGGGAGCCATTCAAAGTGCTCAACTCTGAATTAAGCTCTGAGAATGTGCTGTTTGACTTAAAATCTGCACAGAAGCTCTCCTCCCTTTGTGTTCCTGGGCTAGTGTTGTGTTACCTTTGTGCCCTTTTGTAGTGATTCTTCACTTTCCTTGGTCTGAAACCAATTCATTTTTTATAAGCATCAAGGAGGAGACCGCAGGGTTCAGATTACACTTCTACTTCGGAGGAAGAGTATGGCTCAAATCACAGCTCCCCTAAACACAAACGCTCCCATACTTCAACAGCCACACAGACGCCGAGGATACGTGGCTCTGGGCTGGGCAAGCAGAAACACAACGGCAGAGAGACAGATGACGACGAAGACTTTGACCATCCCGACCCCTACAACTTCATGGCACAGACAGCAGAGATAGCAGAAATAGCCAGGTGAGGAGATGGAACATCAGGCCACGTGCTTTCTGTTGTCTGGGTTTGCATTAGTGTTCAAAACTAGGAGTGGAGGAAAAGATGCTCAGTCTGTTTGCTTTTTATATCCGGGCACTGATATGTTATCACAGAATAAAATCATAGAATCACTGGAGTAGAAAGGATCCTCTAAGGGCCATTTAGTCCAGCATCCCCTGCAGTGAACAGGGGACACCTACAGCTCAATCAGGTGCTCAGGGCCCTGTCCAGCCAAACCTTGGGTGTCTCATTCACCATCTCTCTGGGCAACCTGTGCCAGTGCCTCACCACCCTTATTGTAAAACAACTTCTTCCTTATATCAGGTCTAAATCTCCCCTCTTCTAGTTTAAAACCATTTCCTTTTGTTCTGTCACAACAGACCCCACTACAGAGCCGTCCTCTTCTTTCTTGCAGTCCCCCTTTAGATAATGAAAGGCTGCTCTCAGCTCTCCCCAAAGCCTGCTCTTCTCCAGGCTGCACAGCCCTGGTTCTCACCCTGCCCTCGTAGGGGAGGTGTTCTACCCCTTGGGACATTTTCATGGGGCTTTACAGCCTGTGCTAGGCAGTGCTCTTTGTGTCTTCTGCTTGGAAAATGCTGAGGTGCAGGGAAGCTGGGTTGTGTTTGAGTTTATTGCTTGTTTGAGCTGTGGACAGGTATCCTCTTTTAGCTTTGAGTCTGTCAAAACATGTATCTGTTATCTGCTTATCACTGCTATCTGCTGGAAGGCTTCCGTGTGCACGGACCAGCTCATGTGAACTGCCCTAATTCTCTGCAGATGGATTAGCAGAGGCTGAGGATGTAAAGTGTTGAAGCTGCTTTGCCTGAGGCCTGTGAGGGAGCAGTAAGCAGTCACTACAAGGCAGAGACCTTTTTGGTTGGCACAATTGAATCCAGACAAGAAAATCTGTCTGTATCTAAATGAGTTGTTGCTTAGCCTGATGTCTGTGGATACGGAGCCATTGTGTGTCCTGGTGGTCCTGTGGTTGCCTGGAGGACATGGCCAGCAAAGCAAATAGATGCTTTTTTTAAACAGTGGCATTTGAGGTTTGACATCTCTAATATGCAACTGCGTTGTGCCAACTTTCCAGAAATACTGGTCTTCCATTGTGCTGCCATTGCTGAAATACTTTGCACGATGAGAGCTGTCTTCTGTCTGCTTTGGGTCAGCATTTCCACGTTAGATGTAGCGCAAGCTTGCATGGATCTCCAAAGGCTTTTCCTTTGCTGAACACTGCAGGCAGCCTGTTACAAGCTGCCCTACCTGTGTTGTAGGAGTGTGCATGTGCAAAACGTGTTCTTCCCTCGTAGCAGCGTTCCTGACGCGGGCGGGCGCTCTGGGTTGCAGGAGCTATAAATAAGCAGTTGCATCAGACTTGTCTGGCTCAGCACACTGCACAACTCGGTCACAGTCTGCCTCCTAATTGCCGTTCTGATTTCCGCTGCGGCTCCCAAATTAACTGGGAGGGGTTTAAAGAAGGCAGGGAGAGTTAAAAGGGAAAATGTCACTTGTTTACAGAAAGCGAAGCACAGAATGGATGCAATCAGTGACAGCTCTGTCCGAAATCAGCACAGACAGGGCACCTTAGGCAGAGATCAGAGTCCTTTTTCTTACTTCAATTACACATTTTCATTCCAAGGAAATGTTTCCATGGGCTGACAGCTTTATTACGTTGCTTGTTCTTTTTCCAATTAAAGGAGAAATCATCTCTCAGCTGAAGCTAGCTAGCTGGAAGACTATTTTTATAACTACAGACTGCTTTGCTTCTGAGCATCTTTTTTTTTCCAGAGTGTGCTTGTAACAATCCAGAGTCTTAAAAACTGGTTCTGAGATCTAAAGCAGAGTGCTGCAGTCACTGAGTGCTCTCTGCACACCTGGCAAGGGGCTTGAGGCTTTTGACAGTCACATCACTCTGTCACACAGGAGGTGTGTCCTGCATAGCCCTAGTAGTGCCTCATCCCTTGTGGAGATCCTGAGGCATGTTTTGATTTTTAAACCACAGGGGAAAAGGAAATACATTGTGAGGATTTTACTATTTGTGATAAAGAACAAAGGTTTTCTCTTTCCAGAAGGGCTCTAGCCATGTTGTAGAATGCTGTACTGGGATAATTTACATAAGGCTGAAGAACTGACTGTTCTTTTGAATGATGGAGAAATGCTTTCTTTTTTTTTTTTTTCTGCTTTAACAGTTTAAACATGGAAATAAGCCATTAGTATAATGGTCACGAATGGCTTTGTTGCTCCTGCTTTCCTTCTGTGATTTCTTCTGTAAGGGAGAACAAAACTCCCAAGTAGAAGTGACCCTGTTCTATTAAAAAAAAAAAAAAAAAGAAAAGAAAAAAAAGGAATGAGTGGGAAACAATAATGTAGAACTTCTTTATAGATCATCTCCAACACTTTTTGCAAATGTGGAGTCACTAAAGTTTGTTTTTCAAGTCTGTGTTGAAACTTGGATACAGGAGAGGATTTATTTTATTACTCATGTAAGCAGACAGTGTTCCTCAGTACTATGCCAAGGCACCCAAAGCTCTGCAGAGGTTATAAGTCATGCAAACTTTCTGTGGTTGCCAGTAAAAAAAAGTCTTTTGTGGCTGTTCTACTGATGTTTTATGAATATGAGGCTTGTTGTATCATGGGTCCTAACTGCTGGGCTGCATGCTGTACTTCAGGTTGAGCCAGACCTTGGTGAAGGATGTGGCCATCCTTGCTCGAGAGATTCATGATGTTGCTGGAGATGGGGACTCGCAGAGTTCGTCAGGAACAGGACCAAGCACCTCCCTCAGCTCTGTGCCCAACACTCCTGCTTCCACCATATCAGCAAGAGAAGAGGTAAGATCTCCTAGGGCAGAAATCTTGGCCTCTGAATGCATAGCAAGTGTGCAGGACCTGTGAACAGCCAGTGGGGTGAGCAAGGATGAAGGGGGTTAACGTTGGGGAGGAGGATGGAGGCCACCTTGTAATTTGACTCAATCGGTGCAGCTGCTCAGGGATTCAGCTCAAATTCATCTGTAAAGTCACCTAGAAGCTCCAGCTGCTAAAGTAAGATTGCCTTTGCTGCTGTATAAACCCCAATTCCTTCCTGCCTATCACCAGTGTGGGTTTAAAAATCTTTCTATCTTTCTGTCTTTTTTTAATTGCTATTCAGGTGAGCCTCTTGGTCCTCAGTTGTCTTTGTTGTGAGAACAGAGGCCTGACTAAACAGGATTCAAAGCAGAGGCCAAACTTGTTACCCTGCTAGGAGAGGAGTTGGAGGCTCTGTGACCCTGCTGAAGGTGCAAAGCAGAAGTCTGGGGAGATTCCTGTGGGATCACGTGTGGAGGCTGTACTCCTGTTAATCCCCAGCCAGCTGCAGCCTTCCCAAGGAGGGTTTTGTCCCCAGGTGTTGTTCAGCTTTGAGCCAGAGTACACAAACGTTTCGCAATAAGTTCAGGCTCTGAGACAGTGTTTTATTGCTTTGTTTACATGCAAATGCCACACCTGCAAAACTGCCTTTTGTGTTGCTCTTTTTGAGCAGCCAAGGTGACAAGTCTACCTTACTTCTGATTTGCAAATGAAACCTTTTACTGTGGGTTGGCAATGACCAGCACCCACTTCCTTCCACAAAAGCAGCTCGCCTACATCTTTGCAGGGTGCCAATGAAGGGTGCGGCCCTCAGTCAACATACACAGAGGGTGGTTCCTTGCAGCTTGGTAGCAGTGATACCTGCAGAACTCAGGCTGAGAGTGCTTCTACCCTGTGCAAAATGCTGGGCCTGGCAGTAATGCCTTGCTAGGTTTGGACAGATGCAAGCTACATGCAGTGCAAGCTACATGCTATGCCATTTTTCTATGATGTGACTTTGTAGAGCTGTGCTGTAGATAATGCTCAGCAACTGCTGCTGTGCACTGGTGGAGCTGCCCAGTGCTAGTGATAGCCAGGAACTGGTTAAATCATCACAACTTTCTGCTGCTGATGCTGAGACAAAGAGCTGAATAATCGTGAATAGCTTTGGGTCCTGAACTGTGCTTTTCAGGGTCATGTTATGAATGGGAGTGATATAAACTGATGTGGGATTTAATAAATACACATCACATCTTTGGAACTGGACTACAGTCAGTAGGCATCCATCCAGATCTGCTTCTGAAGGGTTCTGATGCATTGGTGCTCAAATCATTACTTCAGCTTAATGTAGGGAAGGTAATAGAAAATCTCTGAAGATTGAGGTGTGTGAGGCTAAGCACTGTGAACAACTTCATATTGAATATTCTAGGGAGGGACACAGTGATGAGAAACGACTATACTATTTAGTAGTAATAGTAATGTCGTACAAAACATGTGGTAACAGAAAATATGTGAATATGCAATGTTTACTGTGTGCTCACCTCTTGTAGCTCTAGCTTTTGCAGTGTTGTATGCCATTCTTCCAGCCCTTGATTTTCTACTACTAAATACTTGCACCAGCTCTAAGAAACTGGGAGGAAAACTCAGAAACAAGTGCTGATACTGGAATAACTTGTGAGGGTTTGGTACTTTACCAGAAGCTTCACTTTAGACCTGTGTGTGCTGTGACATTTCTCAGCCTCACACAAATTGCTTTTAGAATTGCTTTTATTACAGTGCTTGGTTAAAAGTTAAATTGTGTGTGTTCTCTTAAAAGTTTAAGATGGAGCTTTAGATTTAAACCTTATTCTTCATGTTCTGTCCCTTCAGGTCCAGTGTTTGCTTGGATGTTAGACAGGGAGGTTTTCAGTTCCCCCTTGCATGTTTACGGTGGCTTTGTTTTCACAGCTGTCAGCTGTATAGCACACAGTAATCCAGATTCCAGTAATATTGAACTGAATCCTGCTACAAATTAAGCAAAGCCAAACCAAAATGTGTTCTGCAAGAGTGAAACCTTTGTTATTCCTGCCTTCTAAAGCCTTAGGATGTGTATGAGTAGGTATCACAGGACCCAGCTTTCTGCAGAGCTGAGCAGCCAAGCTGCAAGGGTAGTCAAGAGGGTCAGCCGAAAGCACCACCACTTCTTCACAATAGAATCCTGCACAGTTGTGTTTTTTAAAGTTGATATTGGTTTAGCAGAAAACTGAAGATCCCATTTATGTTTATTATAAGCTGTTGCTTAACTTGCTCGGTGTGACTGTTGCTATGATGGGAGGAAGTGCTTACAGATGTGCAGTTGAAGTTGTGGATGCCCCCATCCCTGAAAGTGTTCAGAGGCAGGTTGGATGGGGTCCTGGGCAGCCTGAGCTGATGCCTGATTAAGTGGTTGGCAGCACTGCCCATGATGAAGAGGTTAGAAGGAGGCAAACTCTGAGGTCCCTGTCAGCCCAAACAGTTATAAGATTCTGTGCAACAGAACAGAAAGCATGAATCAGGCCAGCTCCCATATGAAAACCCCCTAGTGGTGGTGAAGCTGGTACTGCTCCTACAGTGTTTTCACCTGCTTGTGCTGAGACCTGCCAGACTGGAGTATCTCATTCCCTTCTGATGCTGTTCACTGCTGTAACCAACCTAACTCACTGCACTTCACAAAAAGATGCTTAATAAAAAAAGGAAGCTTATTTAGCTAAACATTTTGGCTGTTGTACGCCTATAGCATAATGTCTTATGCTTTCTGCCTGAGTATAACTCAAGTGCTACTGCATAGAGTTTGGGGAACCTGGGCCTTGGATGGTTTCCTCATAAGTAGAGTGCTGTTGCCAACCAAAGAGCCTCCTGGGCTATGTGTGTAGCCCATTCTTGGTGCTCAGAGAGGTGTTGAATTTCTCTTAATACTGTCCACAAGTGGGAGCTGCAAAACTTGCTGGTGGCCCAGGATCTCTGTGGGCTTCAGTGCATGCTGGTGGGTTGGGCATTGAGTGCTGGTCCTTTGGAATGCGCTTTTGGGAATGTCACCCCAAGATAACAAGACGCGTTCTATGATACCTGCTGTCATAATCATTCAGTAGCATTGATCTCTTTGTTTCTGTTTTAACACAGATTGCTCGTAGATCTTTTCGGCTGGCATATCCATCTCAGGTGCACTTTCCATCCCATTATTTTTGTGTTTCTGTCTTGTCGCTCTTGTTTTTCTCATCTTCTTTCCGAGTTTTTGTCTGTCAGTCAACCAAACATGGGTAGCTGTCTTGCTGTTTCTGTTCTTCATGTTGTCTGTATTATCAGTGGTCTTGTATTTTTCATCTCTACCATGTGTTACTGAATAGTTTCTGATTAAGTTTAATGTCACTTTAATGTTGCATTGATATATTAAAACATAAGATGAGGAAAAACAGGGCCTTCTTCAATTTTAGCCTGTATTCCTAAAAGGCAAAGGTGTTCTTTTCAACTGCTTGTTCAAGTCTTAAAAGCATAAAGTGGAACAGCCTCGCTAAATTCCATAGAAGGACTCCTGTGGGTAGAAGTTTGCAGGATTGGGGTCTAGAATTGTGCTCAGGATCCCACACCTGTCTGAACAAGACTTGAATGAATCAGTGTTCCCCTGGGGCTTGCCTGAAAATCTGCGTTACCTGCAGTGAGTGGCTGTGTGCCTCCTTCCCTACTAATTTTAATGACTCATTACTCATTATTTCCAAGTTGGTGCAGCACATTCCAGAAGCAAGTCTGAACTACCAGAAAGTGCCTCCGGGATCAGTGGAACTGAAGAATTTTGACCAAAATATGAATGATAATAGAGAAGATGATCTATCCAAAAAAACAAGGACACGAAACCGTGAGGAGGCAAGCCAACTTTTTCTTTACTTTCTAACTTATGACATTACTTGCAATATGCATATATGCTCTTCTAAGCTGCCAAAGGCAACTACTGAAAAAAATGTACATCTCTATCAACAAAAGAGAGCTCTTGAGAAGTAATATTAAAAAGAGAATAAAAGGAACAAAAAAATCACTCTTTAAGGCTGATACTAACTGGAATTATCCTCCAGTAAGATGTGAGGCTGGATCACTGATAAGAAGACTTTTAGTGGCAGTGCCCACTTTGGGTCTTTCACTTTTTCGTAGAAAGGAAAACCACAAATGTCTAAAGTTTGAAATGTGCAACGTCAGTGTTTTTGTGTCATGAATACTCTTCCATAAGCAGTAATGGCACCTTATTTTTCTGCAGAGGGCATGCTGGCCAGAGCTGCCCTTGGAGCAGCCGTGCCAGAGTCAGGATATCTCTGGCCAAATGCCAGGATATGTGACCATGAGAGTGGCTTGATATCTGATAAAATCACTTTAGAAGGTTTCATTGAGACTGCTTGTGGGAGTTCTTGGCTTGTGAGTGTTTGTTTTTTGTTTTGTGTGTGTTTGTGTGTGTGTATGCACACTTGGTTCCCTGCTTCTTTTTGGGGGAGAATCTTTCTGTGAGAGTTCTAAAATCTCATAGAAAGCAGTCGTCTTCAAACAGTCCTGTCTTCCTCTATTCTTCTAGATAAGTCTGAACTGTTAATCTTTCTGCCAAAGTGCTGCAACAAAGCTGTACATCATTTAATCTCTCTTGAGTCTTGAATATCATCCTTGTAGATAAAGATGCTTCAGTGAAGATCACTTACTCTGAAAATTTCCAGGTTTTTTAATGTGTGAGTTCTGCTAAAATTGCTTTATCTGATTTTCTCTTTTATTTTAGGTCATCTTTGACAACCTGATGCTGAACCCAGTGTCCCAGTTATCACACACAATCCGTGAAAATACAGAAAACCTAGCTGAGAAAATGAAGTAAGCAACTTTTTGTCCTTGGCCTGAAATACTGTCAGTCTGCTTGTGGAAGATAACAAATTGTCATTTTTGAAACTTATTATCAAGGTGCAGGGAGTCAATGTGTGGTGAAGGAAAGGTAACGGGATTATTTGCCATCTCTTTTTTCAGATGTGTGGTGTTTGGAATTCTAGTGCTGAATTTGTAATGCCTGTTGTTGCATTAACTTTGAAATGTTGCCTGAGGAAAGAGAGGGGAAAAAAATGTATTCCTGTTGGTGGATTGTCTCCTCTTTTCTCCCAAGGCTCTCAGAAAGCCTGCAGATCACCAGTGCTTGTGCAACGACAAAGCTTCTTGTTGCTCCAGAAGCCATCAGTTAGAAACAATCCAAAGTCCTTCCCTAAATCAGCTGAAAGGAGCTTTGTCCTATCACTAATCCACTAATCTCCTTTGTTTCCACATCTTGTGATAATTAAGTCTTTTAAACAATCAGCTTTTGGATGGAAATTTTAAGACCCGTTTCACATTTTTGTGCTGCAGGATTTTGTTTCAAAACTCAGAGAGGACCTGGGAGGAGATGGAGGCCAAAATTAACTCTGAAAACGAAGTGCCAATTCTGAAGACATCAAACAAGGTACGTGTGAACAAGTACACTGCTGAGGGCTTGTGTCCATGAAAGCTTTGTGAAAAATGAAAAGGACAAGTTCTGACCCTTCTGAAACTCATTTCTGAAATTGGTAGTAAATTTGCATGTGTTCAATTGCTCTTTCTTGTTGTTTTCAGTATGACAAGGTGAGTTCCTCCAGCTGTTCTGCTAGTCACTTTCACCAAAATCTTCCCTTCTGCCTTAATTCTCAGTCCCTTAGCAGATGTTCAGGGTCATTAGATCCCATTTAAACATCTTCTAAGGCATCACCTGCCATGTGGTTGCCACAGCTTTAATTGCACATTGGTGCTTCTGTATTTTTTTTTTTTCACCTGTTACAGTTCTATAGTAGGGCAATAAAAATGTGCATTATCCATAGGGTGTTTGTGCTCTCATAACTTCTTATTATTTATGGGGACTGCCAGCATGGATTTCAGTGTAGTAGTGGTCTCAGCAAGCCTCACTAATGCCAAGTGTACATATAACTGCATGCAGGACCTGTGTCTGAAGGTTCAGTGCTACACTAGTATATACATGGCCAATTGCTTTGATTGCAAACATCTTTGTATATGTGGTGGTAAGGAGTGTGAACGAGCCTTAGCACAGTTAGTGTCCAGCTATGTGGACAGTTCATCTGGCTAACATTTCAAATCTACTAAACCACTGAGGCTATGAACTGGGTGATGTAGTAGCACTTGGGGAAAATAAGGCAGAGCAGAAGTCCCACACACTGAGCAAGTACACCTAAATACAGATCACAGAATCATCGAGACTAGAAAAAACCTTCAAGATCACAGAGTCCAACCATAATCCTATATTTGTCTTTTCTGTTATAGAAGCAGTGTTGGAACTGACTTTGAATATTCTTGATAGGAGAGGGCAGAACTAATTATTCAATTAGTTGAATAATTTTTTTTCCTTAACTCTCTTCTCATGCTTTTGTTTCTAGGAAATCAGTTCTATCCTGAAGGAGCTCAGGAGAGTTCAAAAACAGCTTGAAGGTTGGTCATTTGAAATGTGCTTTTTCTTTCCCATGTTAGTAAGTTTTAAGAATAAAACAATATGCCTTAATTTGCCAGTGAAAGCTGGGAAGGGCTGCGATTATAGTTTGGTCTGTGCTCTTTGAGTGGATATAGAACAAACAGTACATTTATTTTATGCTGCCAGTTCTTAGTTTTCAAAAATTGTTGACTTCTGAAATGTGGAAACTGTTGCTGTGGAAATGCTTTGTTTGTGGTAATTATTCACATGAGATGAACTGGCAAAGGTCTGTTCTGTTGGAAAGAGCTGCTAAATATTTCTTCCACCAGTAAGTTGTGTTCAGCTTTTGGACTGTGTAAGTGTTCACACTTACTTGAATCTTGTACGTAGAGCTCTGTACATAGAGGTGGCAAGGTGATCTCAGTGGCTGCCTCTTACATCATCTGGAAGCTTAATAAAGGCATATGAAAATACAAAGGAGTCATTTCAGCCTCCTGCTACATGCAGTTTACTGCTGTAGTTTATCTTTTCTAATTCAACCAGAAAGTTGAGTGTCCTTGTAACTTCAGTTTGGGGGAGGTTTTGCATATTAAAGCTGCTTAGGCTGAGGAAGAAAACAACATAATTAAAATGAACACAGGTACTGCCAGCAGTTCTATGGCTTCAAAATGAAGGGAAGCAAATTTCTGTTTGGAAACTGCCGAGTGCTGTTAATATGTCTGTCTCTTTTTTCCCCAGTGATAAATGCTATCATTGACCCTACTGGAAACTTGGATGTAGTTGCCAGTAACAAAGCATCTTCTGCTGCTAAACAATCAACAGCCACTAAAGTCAGGACTGCTAACACTTCTGGATCCACACTGGAGACTTTGTCCCCAGCACAGATGAGAAACTACACACAGAAATCAAACTGTGGGTCTTCTAGCTTGCAAGATTCAAATTTCATTCCAGATGGAGAGAAATACGTGATCTGATATTTTGTATTGCTATCATATTGTAATCTACTGTAGTATTGTGTGTGAGTGGTTTGTGGACAGTTTGTGTGGAGCAGTTGTTTAGATTGCTAATACATTGCACAAAAGAAAGGAATCTATGCTGTGAGGGTGAATGGCAAGTCTGCGTATGCCTTTGAATCAAGACTAGCACTGTGGAGCAGCACATGTTCAGCATAGAGGCAAACTGATTTTTAACAATTTACTCACTCTTCCAGTGTGCCATAAGCAAACAGGCTTTGCATACCCTCTGTTCAGTACTGCCTAGTGCTCTTGCATCAGCCTGTTCATAATGATTCAGTTGTAACGAGGCGCAATTTAAGAAACACTTTTTTGGGTACTAGATTTGTTTTGGTTTTGTTTGCTTTGCTGTTTTGTTTTCATTGTGTAAGTGAGCATTGCAGCTCTGTTGGAATCCAAGTGCAAATCCAACAGAATGATGGTGCAATATAGTGGGTTTCTAGGAGAAACTCTCACTACAGTTCTCTAAGAAGTCATTTTCAGCAGTCTTAAAAAGGCAACTGCACTGAAGTTGTACGTTTTTATGTTCTTTTTTCAGCCCCAAAACTAAAACAAGACATAACAATTACTTTTTTTTCTTCCCTCTTGGTCAAGTGTAAGAGTTGTTAATTGAATGTAACGACTACTAATGCAGTTGCTATTTTTCATGTTTCAGTCCCAAAATTATTTGTAAGTACAAAAAGTTGAATTATGGTTTAGCTTGCCAAATTTTTGGTACAGTTGCTGTCTTTACAGGTTCAAAAGATTTGCTGTACAATCTTTCACAATAGGCTACAAATGCTCCAGTCTGGGCCAAAGACTGAGATGGCTGTGATTTAGCTAATTGTCAAGAGAAACATCTGTTCCAGTGGCTTACGTAATAAACTTAATTGCATAGCTGCTGTGAACTAGTGTTCACTTGATGGCACTCAAAAAAGAATGGCAGAAATGTAGCTCCTCATTTATGGTTAGTTCTGCTACGAATTTCTTATTCAATGCAAAAGTGCTTGAAAACCACCATTCTGTGCTATTCCTTAGGAACTACCTGCCAGCATCAAGCACTTGGTATATTTGGGATTTTTGTCTGGATTTTGTCTTTTTTTTGTCTGTCTCCTAGACATTAATGAGTATTACATGCAGTTGCACTAAGCAGTTTCTTGTTGAAAAAACATTGCATTTTGTATTCACCCTTTCAGTTACATACAAAACCCGAAGCAATTTTTCTTACTTCAAAAAACCAAACCTTTTGTTCTTAAGGGGACCTTTTCCAGACGTGTTTGCTTCCAGTTTTCTCCATCCTGTAGTAATTCCTTTGTCATTAATTCCTGGTCCACAAGCAGTAATCAGGTAGAGAAATCCTTCCATAGTCATGGAGGAAAATTTGCTGGGAAAGGTGAGCAGATGAGTTCCACTTTGCCCTCATACAGTGTGTGGTTTAACCAGTGAAAATGGAACCCCAAGCTTGACTGCTGCTTCTTGTGTGACTTTATATTTTGGGGTGGTAGTGGATCCCTTAGTTAGCTTCAGTAGTTACCTGAGCTTTTCTGCTAGAATGTCGTGAAAGTGGGAGCCAGCTAAAATAATTTCAATAAGTAGGGATACTCACAAGAGTTTAATCTTACTAGCAAAGAGCATGAGGGCTTTCCTGGTGAAGCCACTGGGAAATTTCAATAAATTTCAGCAGAAACAGGATCAGTCCTGTGATGGGAGGATGCCAGCAGACCATTAGCTTCTCTTGACTCTGCACACTGCTGGCTGGCAAAGAGTAAGTTCAGATACCCTTCCAAGATCTCCAGCAGGTTATAAGACTCATCTGCTTGTGTGGAAATGCTCTTCCATGAAGAAATCTGCTGAATTTCACATAAATGAAAGCAGAATAAAAGAAAAGAGGAAAAAAAAAATTGCCCTTTATGTTCTTCTGGCTGTAATATACGCACTGTACCTTCTTCTGCCTGTAATATACTGAATGTGTTCATTTGGTTGTTTATTCTGATCTGTCTTTTCTTGAGATGCCTGACTGTGTCTGTGATGAATATCCTACGTGGTGGTATTGTTCCTGACATATGACACGTGTGTTCAGGCCCTTCTTTGTTAGGGCTTAGTATGTCCAGGTGCTACCCCAACTCATTAGGAGTTGAAGGACCTTCACAGATAAGGTGTTGCTGTTAGTTTCAGTTTTGCTATAGAAACACATGGATTACTCAGACATCTGACTTTTATTATTCACTATGTTTCTGCATCTTCCTGGCTATGCTCTGGTGGTTTTTGTTTCTCTGCAGCACATCTTTTGATGTGACTTCTGTTTACTTTCACTTGAAAATTACTTGATTCTTCCTTCTTTGGTGAACACATCAGGAATGGATTTTCATCCTTGTTTGCTTTGCTCTGAATTTGAGAGAGAGCCTGCAGCCACCTGACATCAACCCACCAAACATGGGACCTCTTCAAGTACAGGACGCAGCAGTCCATGTCTGCTCACAATTTGGACGTGTTTGTGTAGGGCTGGGGGGGAGATGCACAGCTTGACTTATTTGTGACTCAGCCAAAATGCACAACAATGCTTGTGTGCTGACACAGCGTTCATGTGTGGATCTTTGCATTCAAAACACTCTTGTTAGTGATGAAATGCAACCTATCTTCTCTTGTGTTCGCTGCTTCTGAAATATATACACTCCATTTGCACTTGTCTGCTCCGATAAGCCAAAGAGCGAGCCACACAACTACAGCTCCTTTATCCTTTGGTCATTCTTACAGTGTGCACAGCCATGAAAACACGCCTGTGTGTGACTGCAGCGTAACTCTCCAGGTGTATCCTGCTGCCCAGGCTCAGTGTGTAGGAAACCTGATGGCTTTGGCAGGCTGTGTGTGGAGTTTGATGGAGCGACCCTGACCCCATGGGCAGTTCTCATACCATTTTGCTTTCGTGTGTTTTGTATTTGACTAAAGAAATGTAACAAAGGGTGGGATTTTCAAAGCTGCAGGGAAGCAAGTGCTCAGGCCCTTTTGGGCTCCCAAGGGATTTCGGGTGCCTGATGTCATGAGCACCTTTCAAAATCCCAATCCTCCATTCTTCTGCTATACTTGAAAACCATGTTCTCAGTTCAACGCTTTCAAATGTAAAAACCTGTTCTTTCGTTCTGATGGAATGAATGTAAATTCCTGCAAGAATGTGTGGGAGCTTTGCTAGGGAGGACCTTAACTTAACTACAGCCGTGTCCTGTTGTGGTTGTGCTCCAGGAGAAAAGAAGTCTGCATCATCTTCGATTTCTTTAGTAAGGGTAAAACTAGTGGAATGTTTACATCCAGACTACTGGGAAGGAAAAAAAAAAAAAAAGGAAAAAACAAAAAGGGCGAAAAAAATGTAAATAAGTGCAAGATTCTACTAGTTTTTCTTGTGTTGCGGATCACAGTAGCTATTTTTGAAGTTGGGTAAATGTGTATAGCTTTTGCAAAGACCAGACAGAGCTACCTGTCCACGTCGATGTGCCCCGTGCTAAATCGTGCCTATTTCACTATCTGCTGTCGTTATGCTGCTGATTCTGCTCTTCTGAACTGTTCACTGGATCATTCCATTTGCATGCAGCACAAATGCAAGCTGAGCTGTCTGAGAGTAAAGCTGAAACACGTCGGTATAACTTGAACTGATTAATGACTTTCTCTTTCCCACACCCTCTTGAAATGCTGTGTACAATTTTGATTTGTTTATCCTACCCCGATTTTTTTTTGCCTTTTTTTTTTTTGAATGGTAATTTATTTTTGTTTGGATTATAGGCAGTATCTGTACATTTTGTTCCAAGGTGATATTGTGGACGTCTTTAAGAAAAAAAAATAATAAATTGTTATTTTATATAATTTTATCATAAAGTTGCTCTAATAAATCATTCTTTTATCATGTGACACTACAACTCTGGATTTTTGTGTGGTTAATTTGCGGGAGGGGAGCGTATGTTCATACAAAATTTTCCAACTGCCTGTTTATATTGGTGTCAGTAAATACAGGTTAGGGAAAGGATTGTGTGCAGCTGGGGGCTGACACTGCACCTGGACCCCTTCTGCTGTCACCTGGCTGGCACAGATACATAAAGGCCAATGGTACATGGGGGTCCCCTCACCTCTGCCCCCAGAGGTACAGGAGCAAAGTCTGCATGTCCCATTGCTTGAGGGTGGTCTTACTGCTGCATGTGGTACAGTGATCATTAATTTCATTAATTTGGGTTTTAGTACTATTTGATTGTGTTGCCATAATTAGCAGTGGTATTTTTAAAGGTTAAGCCCAGCCTGTGTGTGTTCATGCCCCAGTACGAATGATATAAATTGAGGGCACAAGAGTGGGCAAAGCCACCATTTTCTATGTATTGAAGTTTACATCTGTGAAATTCTTCTCTTTGCTACATCCCTGTCCTCCTTTCTTCCTGGAGTTCTCTCTGACCTTCCCATCCTTCCTGGCACTTCATGAACAATGCACAGCTCTGCACAGCTTCAGCTGGCTGCAGCTTCACCCACCCCACTTTGCAAACTAGAGCACAGGGCTGAGTTGTCTGCATTGTTGCCTCCCCACAGACTTTTGCAGCAGTGCTGAGAGGTATTTGAGTTCGGATGCCATGCAAAGGAGCCTTTTGAAATCAACAGTGGCAGTTGGGGGTGGGGTCTCAAAGGGAATGGTTTCTTCTGCCTGCTGGTGGGTTGTAAGAGCTGTAGCATGTCTTCACCCACGGAAAGCAACTGCTGTGTATTAGTGAGGCCACTGGGAGCTTTGCAGAACAAAGAGGAGGAATGTAATATTTGGAAAACAAAGGTAGATCATATTAAAGTTTTTTCTCATGTTTGTAGGTCATATTTCTTAGGTGCAACTGGAGTGGCAATGAAAGAGGAGTGATGAGACTGAGACTGAAAAGCCCCCTCTGAAAGAGCAATCATAGAGCTACACCAGTTGCTGATCTTTTACTTTGAAGTCAGCACTTCCTCCTATCAAAATACAGCTAACGAGCCCTGAACATTGTATTGAAAAGAATTATTTCAGATACGGAAACTGGAGCAGCTTGCCCAGGGAGGTGGTGGATGCCCCATCCCTGGGGACAACCAAGGTCAGGTTGGACAGGGCGGTGAGCACCTGATGGAGCTGTGGGTGTCCCTGTTCAGTGCAGGGGACAGATGGTCTTTAAGGGTCACTTCCAACTCCAATGATTCTATGGTTCTATGATATGAAGTGCTAAATGTTTCACGTCTGAGGTTAATACTTCATAGTATTTTCTGAATTATTCAAACAGTTGAATAAATCTTTAAAAACATTTTCAAACAAAAAGCTATATTTTTATGTAGACTTTGGAATTTTCTGTAGGCTTGTCAGCTGAACCATTTCAGCGCTCTTGACCTGAAATGACATTTTCTTTCAGTTAATTTTACAGTCCTTTGGCACAAAGCATAAGCAGAGCATTTCTCCTCTCAGGCATGAGGACCCGGGCTGTTCTGCTTCCATCCTTCTGTTGGCTGCTGGTGCCCAGACCCAGCAGCTTTGTCCTCGTGCAAACCAGAGTGTGATTTTGTAGTGATCTCTGCAGTGGTAGCAACATTCCTGTCTATTAGCTCTCTGAGATGAGAGCATGTTAAGCTGGCAGTTTCTTCATAGCAAACCTTCCACATACGTGTTTAAAGATCCTCTACCATGTACTTTAATACATGTTTCTAACAAACTGGAGACCATGCATGGTTTTTAGAGGGAGTCTGCTAAGCAGATTGCATACGGCTGTAAGGTGAGAGATGTGTTTACTTTGTGTGTGGGAAGTTGGCAACTGATAGAAGGAGCCTTGTCTGCGAACAGAAGTGCAGATATGAAGCCAATCACTTGTTTGCCCAGAACCTTGCCAGTCCTTTTTTTTCTTTTCCCTTCAGATAAACCATTTTACACTGCTCCTCAAACCCACTTCCATCCTAAATCACAGCTACAGCTGTAAGCTGTAGGGAGCTCAGAGAGTGTTGAGACACCACTCTCGGACATAGGGTTGGATTTGGGTGATGCTGTGGACTTGGACTTGATGACAATCCTTGTGGGTCTCTTCCAACTTGAGATATTCTGTGATTCTATGATCCAAAACTGAAGGGAGCAGTAAGAACCGGCTTGTCTGCAGAGCACAGCAGGGGGAACATGGGCACTTTTCAGAAGCAGTTTGGACCTTTCGCATGGCTGCTCACTGGAGTTACCACTTCTCTGAGGGCAGACAAAACCTGGCTCCAGCACGATGCTGACTTTAGCTTTCTGCTAACTTGAGCCTAAAAGGATTGCAGCAGCCTTCACCTTGACCCAGCCTTGTTTTAATAGCAGGGTGGTCCTGCTGGTGGGTAGTCTGTATAAAGCAGTAAACTCAAGAGAGAGCAGGATGGCGAGCAGGCTTCGCATCTGCTCCACTACCTTCTTTTTGTATCCATTTTTCCCTGTTTGAGTACAATTATATCAAGCAGGTGGAGATAAGCATCTAAGAACAGGGTAGCAACATCTAGATGGCAGTTTGGGACTCTTAACTATTAGTGTGCATCATGAAACTCGGAGGTTGAGGGGAACTAATCTGCAGCTGAGGAGGAAGAAAGCAGAACCTGAAATGAATCTGCTGGTGTAAGTGTGTGCACCATCTCCTGTGTGCGTGGTTGGACGTAACATCTGACTGCAGGACAGCCACACGGGAGGTCCTCCAGGATGGTGAGTACATGGAAGAGCTCTTGAGAGTGCTGGGGTGGCAATGGGAGGAGGGATGCGCTTTGTACATATGAGAACCTCCAATCATCTGCTGGGGAAGACAGGGTGTACCGAAAAAGCCTCATCCTTGTCTTTGAAATCCAAGAAGAGAACTGATGCTGATGGAGACAAGAAATAGCAAAAAATATTTGGGGAGCTGGGAGAAATCAACCTAACGCTGGAAACAGCAGTCGCCTGTGTGTGCTGTGCAGGTTGTGGTGCAGACTTGTGTTCCTGCCTATGGAGCAGCACTAAGCAGTGCTTGTATTTATTGTTCTTGAAATTGGCAGCTGGTAAAGCCCTGAAAGCTTAGAGGGAGCCATCGTTAATTATGACCCGCTACAGCATTACTCTTAAGCATTCTGCCTGTCTGCCGTGTTTTCTTTTGTGAAAATTAAACTCCAAGCCGTGCCCTCCCTCCCTGCTTCCCTCCTCCCCCCCATGTATTTAATACAGTTCTCACAAGTTCCTCGCAGCAGCTGGGAACACAGCCCAGCCAAAACCATCAAGAAAAGGACTTCATTTAAACCAAATGGCAGATGACTTTATTATGGCACATACAAGATCTGTTCACTCTCATATTTCGAGAGAAATGCTGCTTTTTTTTGAAGCCATTTTGTGGCTGTTGCCTGAAAAAGAGAACTGAAACAAGTTGTTTCTCAAAGCTCAGTCCTTTTAAAGCCATCACACCTGCAGCCACGCTGGGCTTCCGCTGGCCTGGACTGAGGGGCTGCTGCCCTTGTTTTGCTGTTATCCTTTTGCTCCTCCTTCAAAACCCCTTTGCCTCAGTTTCCTACCAAACTCCTTGGTCTCTTCAGCCTTGATAGCCCCACATTTTCTTCCCACTAAGTCTCCTGGCTCAGCATTCAACCCAGACTTGTGTTGTTGTCACAACCTTCTCCATTTGGACTACAAGCTCTTTGGGCTAGGGGAGCATGTCTTTCTACTGGGCTTAAAACATGAAATGGGATTTCAAGGTCATGAGGACCTGACAGTCACCACGTGACCCTCTCTGCGTTCCCCAAGTCAGTGTTTCACACCCACCTCCCATGTCTCCCAGTGCATCCTCCATCTCTTTTATTCACTTCCCCTTGTTCCTCTATGTTGGCCCCACAAGAAGACTTTGGGGGCTATGCCTGTGCTGCATCCAAGATCATAGAATGGCTTGGGTTGGAAGGGACCTCAAGGATCATCAAGCTCCAACCCCCTGCTGTAGGCAGGGCTGCCAACCTCCACATATAATCCTAGACCAGATGGATGGGATAAGCCTGGCAAGACAAAACTAGCTACAACTAGCTCAAGTATGACCACCCACACAACTATGGGTATCTTGTATCATCACAGCACGTTCATCTTCAGGCTACAAATGCCCAGTGGCTAAGGGATAGGAAGCTATAGTTTGGGGACCTGACAGGTGGTGGTACATCTGGCATCACTTCCTGAGATCTACCATATCCCAGGATGTGCTTCTTGCTTCTAGCATGATAAACAACTGCTGACTGAGTCCAGTGGGTAAGTTCACCTCTGGTGTCTGTGCAGTGCTGTCACACAGGCATCATTCAACGGCACGTGTGAAGGGTTTGGATGTTTGAGAAGGCAGGGCAGGCAGGTGGCTAACTACCCGGCCCTACCACCTGCTTTGAGTTGGGACACGGTTTGGGATTTGCTCCCGTGGTTGCCTCTTCTGGTGATAAGAGTAGGAACAATCCTGTCTGGAAAAGAAGTTAACTAATTTCCTTGCCTCATGATTATAGAAGGAAGGAGGAGTAAGGAAGGAGTTTAGATTTTGCCCTATCTGGTTCACATCCCATTAACAGAATCCCTTCTGAAAAAGACACCAGCATTGAAGACAGCTCACGCACATTAGGAAGAAAGAAAGAGTCTGAGAGCTGCCCATTGCAGGGAGTAGGACTAGATGGCCAGGTTTGGAAGGCACCTCAAGGATCATGAATCTCCAACCCCCCTGCCATGTGCAGGGCCACCAACCTCTACATTTAATACTAGACCAGGCTGCCCAGGGCCCCATCCAGTCTGGCCTTGAACACCTCCAGGGATGGACAGGGCATCCACAGCCTCTCTGGGCAGCTGTTCCAGCACCTCACCACTCTCTCTGTAAAGAACTTCCCCCTGACATCCAACCTAAATCCTCCCTCCTTCAACTTAAAACAATTTCCCCTCGTCCTGCTAGGTCCCTTCCAACTCAAACTGTTCTGTGATTCTGTAATAATAGTCACACATGCAATGACATTGATGCCGTACAGCATCACCCATGGTTTTTGCACTTAGCTATTAGTGTAGGCAAATGTGTTAGCCTACAGCGGGACAAAGCAGGCGTCAGAGGATAACCTGAAGAGGCAGTGATGCAGTTGTTTACACATTAATTACTGCAGAGATTTCTCTGTGTAGACAGCACAGGGAAAAACTGCAGGGGACTGTCTCTCTCACCCCCTTTGGAATCTGTTAATGTCACTCAAGATCCATAACACAGAGAGAATGTTGCACACATTCGTACTTTAATCTCAGAGCACTGTATAAAGCAATGGCAGTGACCTGCTTTTTCAATCTATAACTGGCTTTCTACAAATGCTGCCATAAAGCTTTATTTTCTCCCTTGCATACGTTTCTGTTTTTCAGATTGTAAAAAGAGTATTAAAAGCATCCCTGATGGCTAATGAGTCCTCCAACGTGAAATTAAGCGTGAACAATCAAAAAGATGTCAAAATGGTAATTATTGAGATGCACTACATTTGCTCACAAGAGCTGAGATGACGTTGATGCTTCTGAAAAGACAGAGCAGATAAAGAAGAATGATTTTATTGCTTCTTGTGGTAATCTTTGTAGATTTTAATCCTACTTGAAAGCAAGTGAGTGACAAACCCCTCATTGATTTATCCAGTAGGATGATTAAACCTTGCTAAGCAGGAGTAATGTGGAGCCCAATCCTGCAGCCCTCACTCAGAAGAGTGAGCCTTGCTCGTGCAGAAATAGCCTCACTTCCTTCATTAGCACAGATGCTAATGAGAGCCAAGTGAGTAAACGGTGTTGGTATTTCTTCTCCTGATGTAAATAAGCACTGATTACACACAGTTCATCTGAACACACTGTATTCCATGGAATACAAAAGGGATTTGGTCTATATAACATGCTGAAATTCATTCTAAGGCCTCACCCCTTTTCACCCTACCTTGCAGAGCCTTGTGCTGTCTGACGCTGGGCAGACTGTCCTTCAGGCTTGGTCTCACCATAAGAAGCTTCTGGAATCATTCGATTAATTCTGCATGCTTGTAGCACCTGGCATTACAGCATCAGCGTATGGTGACAGCCAAGATATGATTTCAAAACACTCCTCTGGCCTGAGAAATGTCTTCTGAAACCTGTGCCTTCACTGTTCCCAGGGTGAAATTCACAACCATTAAAAAGTGGTGGGATTCTCTTTGCCATCAATGAAAAGGAGAACAAGCAGGAAGGCAAAATTTTAAGTTGATAGTTGGTTTAAAAGCATTTTTCTCTATCTAGGTCAAATCACTGCCTGAAATTGATGGCAGTGCTGTAGATCTTGAAAAAAGCATAGAAGATGAAAAGTAAGAGACTCTATCCACATAGAAACAGAAACAGATGCTTTCAGAGCAAATTGGCTTCCACTCAATTTTCATATGTGCCATTTCAGGAGTTCACATTTACAGCTACAGCCTCTTGACTTCTCCTTCCCAGACTCACTTCTCCTGCCTGGAAGGGTCCAAATGCTCAGCTCTGAATTGCACGTTGCCTTCCATGGGGTGGGGAATTCTCCCAGCTCCTTTTTTTCCCCATGATTTTATGAATTTCCTCTTTATGGTCCTACTGCACTTGATCTCACAGTTAATTTTGTGCTGTGGATTTTCTTGCTTTATTTTTTGATGGAGTTACTGTTGAACACCCATTTTTCCCACACTAAACTAAAAATAGTCAATGTCAAACTAATCTGAAGGTCTGAGAGGAAAAGCTCATTTTTGACATGCTGGCACACAAAAAATTAACAGATAACTAAACTCATAGTCCTTACACAAACCAATCCCTATTTAGGTTGTGGTCCTCACAGGAAGTGATGTGTTTAGGAATACTGTCTGCCAGCAGCTGAAAGCACTGATGTTCAATGGTTTAAATTTACTCACCTGTGACAGGTAGTTATCCATTAGCTGCTGTATGGGTGACTAAAGTGGGTGCTTAATTCTTATCCTGTTTGGATTCTGTTCCAGTTTCAAATCTCTGGGGTAATTTTGATGCTTGGTTTTGTTGCCTTGATGGCTGTTTACTTCATGAGAGCAGACAGCACAGTTGATTGTAAGGGAGAAGAAACAGTTGTCAACGTTTACCAGGAGATGAAGGATGAAGAACTCTATGAAGATCTCCACAGAACCACAGTAACTGAGGAGGACACAAATAGATCCAATGATTCCTGCAGGTAAGCTGGCCTAATGGCTCATGGAGAAGTAATCACCAGGTGGAGAAATCGATACAACAGCATTGTTTGGATGCAGGGTCACTATTAGTAATCTCCTGCTGGAGGGGTGGTAGGAATAATAACACAGCTCTACTATGGTCCTTTGCTTGAAGGTTCAACATACCCCTAACCATCCTCCCTTTGCAGCAGAACGAGAGGCAGCAGGGTGAGCAGCAAGTACTGTGCATTATGGCAGGTGTGTGGTTTCCTGCTCGGGTCACAGCTGCTAGCTTCACACCATACAATTGCTGTTGCAGCTTTGAACTCGTGGAAAGCGTTCCTTACGACTTAGCTTTTGAGATAAATAGCACTGCAGCCAAACCCTTGTACCGTGCCTGGATGAACCTCCTTGATGTAGCCCAGGAAGAAATTCATGTGGCTTCTTACTACTGGTCCCTTACTGGGAAAGACATCAGCGTTAATGACTCATCTTCAAAGCAGGTAGGCTGAAATCAGTGATTGAGGTTGTACGTCTCATGTCTATGTGGTGGATGGCAGACTGACTGTATGACCTGCCTTAAGCCACTTAAAAGGGGGACTCCTATTGTAGAGTTGTTCCCTTGCACACTCTGGCTCCTCTGCAGAGAGCAGATGCCACAATCCTGTTTGCTGCTGTGGGCAGAGCTGTTGCCTTCCTCCTGAGGTTCTTTGTCATCATCCTCAGTGCCCCAGCCCCTTCCTCCCAGGTGGCCTGGTGGTGTAGGTTGACTTACATCCTGCACTTGAGAAGTGGCAGATGTGGGGCTGAGCCCTGCCTCCTTTCAAGGGACAGCCCAGTCCAGCACTGTCTCTGTTACTTATATAATAAAATGCAACAAATAACACACAATGCATTGTGCAGGGTGAAGAAATTCTGAAGAGATTTGAGAAATTACTTGCAGAGAATGTCTCTCTGTACATTGCAGCAAGTATGCCAACTTTGGCTATGAATTCAACTGACCTTGAGCTTTTAGAGAGAAAAGGTAATTATCTCACTCAGTGGTGTCCTCTCAACTTCAGTATTGCTAAAAGGCATCTGAGATAAACTGGCCACTGAGACCTATGCCAGCATGGTGCTTCCATGGCTCTGAACTTGAAGCCATGCTGTTCATGGAATGAGCGCTGCGTATTCACTGCTTCTCAATTTCTGTCTATGCTGTCGTGCCCTCCATGTTTTTTTTTCTGAAAGTTCATGTTTCGTATGTATATTTTTTCAAGTTTATGTCCAGCAATCGGTGCTTGTGAGTTTTGGTGGCAAATGGCTGCAAGCATTAGAGATCCAGACTTGTTGCCTGGAGAAGAGCAGCAGAGATGTGAAGGGTCTGGAGCACAAATCTTATGGGCTGTGGCTGAGGGACCTGGGGTGGTTCAGTCTGGAGAAGAGGAGGTTCAGGGGAGACCTTATCATTCTCTACAGTGGCCTGAAAAATTGTGTTGAGGTGAGGGTTGGCCTCTTCTCTCAGGCAATAACAATAGGATAAGAGGTAGCGGTCTTAAGTTGCAGCAGGGGAGTTTCAGGTTGGATATTAAGAAAAATTTATTCTCAGAGAGTGGTGATGCATTGACACAGGCTGCCCAGGGAGGTGGTGCAGTCACTGTCCTTAGAGGTGTTCAAGAAAAGGGCAGATGTGGCACTGACATGGTCTAGAGCAATAACAGGTATGGGCTGATGGTTGGACTAGATGATCTAATTGATCTTTCCAACCTTAATGGTTTTGTGATGCTGTGACTGCACATCCTGGCTGTCAGAGAGACAGTGCTGTATACTACCTTTATCTAAGCTTACTTCTTCCTTCCCCATCTTCAGGAGCTCATATAAAAAAAATTGACTTTGGACGTTTGACAGGAGGAGTATTGCACAGCAAATTCTGGATCATAGACATGAAACACATATATATTGGTAGTGCAAATATGGACTGGAGATCTTTATCTCAGGTAAGTGCTGCTGTTCATATTCAAACACTTGGGGGGGAAAATTAACGTCCAAGAACACAACAGAAAATCCTAACAATGTCAAATGTTGACCGAGAGGGACAAACAGCAAAGAACCCACTGAGGGAGGAGGAGGTTCTTTCTGGGGCTGTGACACAGTGTGCTGTCTTTGCAGGTAAAAGAGTTTGGTGCTGTGATATACAACTGCAGCTGCTTAGCCCAAGACCTCTGGAAGACATTTAAAACTTACTGGGATCTTGGACATGCTAGTGCTACCATCCCATCCCCTTGGCCTCAAAACTATTCTACCCACATTAACAATTCTCGGCCTCTGGAAATAGAACTTAATGGAACCTTGACAAAAGTCTATTTTTCTGTAAGTATGCTTTAAAATAACAAGACAGACTATAAACTATGTTTAAGGTTTGACCAGAAAAGTGTTTTTAGTGCTCCTTAGCTACTTCTGCTCTAGATGGATAATGATTAAGTCAACAGGTTACTACTGAAGGAATATGGGTTAACATGGCTTGGGCTATCAGCTTGTCCAGTAAGGATAGGGTGCAGGTGTCCTGTGGGCTTAATGTATCAGTGAGTAGCTGACCCACTGGGACATGGAAAGCATGAGGAATACTCTGCCTTAAATACTTTATGGTTCTGCAGTGAAAATTGAACAGACTCAAATGTGAATCCATTACAGTTTAACAAAAGAATGAAGTCACTGACCTGCATGTTTTCTTCTGACAGGCTTCTCCTCCTGCATTTTGTCCAGAAGGTCGCACCCATGACCTCTTTGCTATTATCAGTGTTATCAGTGCGGCACATAAATTTGTCTATGTTTCTGTTATGGATTATTTCCCTACCAGCCGTTTTGTTCACCCAGAAAGGTATGATTTTAATCTTGACCAAACTGGTTGGCTGCCAAACTTGTGCTATTTCAAGGGAAAATATATGATTCTCTCCCCAGCACCAACTTGCAATGAAAATAATCCAACTTCTTTTGAGTAGAAAGAGCTGAGGCTTTGCTCCACATTCATGACTGCTTTGTAGACTGTGCAACTTGTGATGTACAGGAAGGATGTTTTACCATACTACCCCTGTGCTTTTCTAGCATTTTGAAGCATCTTCCTCTGCCCTTCAAGCAGCAAGAAAACTGCAAAATGCCAGACTAGGGGCAGTTGGGTGTAGCTCTATTAAAAATACAGTACATCAGCTCAGCAGAAATATATATGATAATAGACTTCTCAAAGAAAATATTGCTTTGCCCCCTTCTTCTGCTTCTGTTTCTTTCTTTCTGTTCTTCACTTCTGAGGACTCTTGACTTCTTGCTCTACTGCCTGCTCGATACACCTGAATCATGCTGTAGAGCCCAGTTCTTAACTGTTCTTGCTCATCTCTGCAATGGTAGTTGAGGTACTCCCCACAAAAAGTTCTGAGCTTTTATTTTCCTTTTCTACTATCTCATCTTGAACATCTTTGTTTGTCGGGAATGCTGGATGTGTGGAGGAAAAGCTCTCACAGAGGAGGTGCAGTGGTCACCTGGAGTGACTAAATTGTTTGGTGGACCACTGAGCCTCCCAAGGTCCCAGCAGAACCGTGCATACTTTGTATGTCAGCTCTGATCTGAGTAACAGAAAGCTGTTGAGTCATGGGCCAGCCACAGAGATTCCAAATCCTCTTTGATATGCTTGAATTAGAATGTATATGAGCAACAAAGGGCTTTGAGTATTACCTGCTTATGACATTTGTGGGCTTTCCAATCATCTAAATAATCTGATTGAGAAAGTAGCTCAAGCAAACCAATTACATATGAGGTGGCTTGTCAAGAATAAAGTGAGCCCTGGGTTACCAGTTTGCCATAATTTTATCATGCATCATGTCCTCTGGAATGACTGTAGCCTGTGCCATTCAGCTGTGAAGCAGAGTGTTAACATGAAGTGTGAAGGCTAACAGATAGAGATAATTCTGCTGTCCTGGAAATAAAACCTCTAAGGCCAGTTTCCTCCTGGAGGATCTTTTTGTAAATCCAACAGCTGAGAGGATTTTCAGTTTCTGTGTTGTTGAACCTGTGGGTTTCTCATTTCCTGCTTTTAACTAAGATTAGGTTCACAGAAACTCTTTTCTCCCCCTTAGGAATGGAAGTGCTAATACTACTCATACTCCATCTGAAGCCTTAAATCCACCCTTTTTGACATCTAGGACCTGATCTGATGTGAACAGGAGTTTGAAAGACCGTGGGGAAACAGTGCTGAGCCTCTGGCTATCTCCACAGCAGCCAGCTGCAGTGGGGTGAATTGAGGCTGATTAGTTCAGCTTTGGTCTTTCCAGCAGCTGAGGCAGAGGAATAAAACTGCTGTACTAATGCCTGAGTGTTAATCAACTAGGAACCAATATGCCAAAAAAATGGAAGCTGAATTAAAGCTGAAGGGAGCAAGAAGAGATCTTTACAAAAATCTTTTTCTCTACCTACCTGCTTTTCTCTAGATACTGGCCAGCCATTGACAATGCTCTGAGACGTGTGGCTTTCAACTATAGAGTACAAATCCGGCTTCTGGTCAGCTGCTGGACCCACACCGACCCATCCATGCTCCACTACCTGAGGTCCCTGCGTGCTCTCAACAACCCTCACACCCACATGAGTGTCAGCGTGGTATGATAACGTGACAGTAGCCATCTGAATGAGGACTTGATGGTCGTCTTGTCCTTATCTGTATGACCTATCTCAGGTGGCTCTAGGATCAGTTTTTTGGTAGTTGAGAGCTCTTCTACCTGCCTCTATATATTGAGGCACTTTTTTCTACAATAAATATTACACGCAGGCTGTAGGCACTAGAATGGAAAGCATAGGGTGAGGAGAGGGTTCAGGTTGGATATTAGGAAACGTTTGTTTTCCAAAAGATTGGTGAGGCATTGGCACAGCTGCCCAGGGACGTGGGGGAGTCACCATCCCTGGAGGTGCTCAGGAAAAGGGTAAATGTGGCACCAAGGGATGTGGCCAGTGGGCAGGTGAGGGTGGACTGGGGTTGGACAAATGATCTTAATGGTCTTTTCCAACCATAATGATTCTATGATATGGAAGCTCCCAGCACAGTGCACCAAGGGAAAGGGAAAAAAAGAACAGAAATCTAGATTTTAGTAAGATTTCACATAGAAAGTTTGGCATTATTGGATCTGCAGTACTCCCTGTGCATGTGATCAGCCCATTTTATCTCAAAATAAGAGCGGCAATCAGTGGTAAATGCAGATCTATTAAACAGCTGCCTAAAACTGCATTTAATTGTCTGCCCTGTAATGATAATAGCTGTGTCAATAATGGAACATTGTGAAGCAAACATTATCCTTATCTGATCTCAATTGCTTATCAAATTTTATGTATAGTGGAAATAGTATTTGTTAGTTTTCTTGGATAAGAGTAAAATCTCTTTTATGGTACATTTAATACCAGTGTGTGAATTACTCTCTTATTTCTCTAGCATTCTATTCTATGAAAATAGAGGAAATCTGCACTGGCCTGTTTCTCATATGATATTTCTATGTATGTTTTAATTTCTCTCCATCCAGAAACTCTTCATTGTTCCAGTTTTGAATCACACAAATATTCCTCATGGGAGAGTGAATCACAACAAATTTATGGTCACAGATAAAGCAGCCTATATTGGTGCGTATTCTGTGATCACTACAGCTTAAAGCATCTTCAGATCTGTAGGGCTGAGACTGGGATGGGATGGGCTTGAATATCAAAAAAGAGCTCATTTTGCCATAGAAAGTTGATAAACATAACAAAATATTACGTCAGAATGTCTGCTTTGGGTATAGGAGTAGAGGTGGAAAAGTGAGAGCATATAATGTAGGTTAAGTTCAGGAGGAGATTATCTCATATGACTGTGAACCATTAAGAACAGAGTATGCTGAGTCTGAGCATGCAGTTTGTAACAGGCACAGTGGGAACTTCACAAACTGTGTGCTCAGAATGATGCAGTGATAGCTAATGCTCTGGTATAGAACATCACTGTGCTTTAATAAAAAGGAATTGCTGGCAGGGTTTAATTCCACGCACTATTTGCTGAACAGAATTCTAGGAATGGAAATGAGGAAACTCTAGTGTCAGCTGTTGCTCTATTCCTGAAAATTGGGATGGTGTTATTTTTGTGCTCTTTTATTCAAATGCCTCTAAAATGGAATGCAGAAGGGGTCTGTCATTTCAGCAGTGCAGCCTACAGCCAGCCTGACCTTCTGACAGGCTGAGGACTTGCAGCTCCAATCACCTTTAATGGCACCTTGCTTCTTAAGTTGTTTCTTGAAGCGAGGTGTGCAGAGAAGTTGTTTTCATGCCTAAACACCCTCTGCAATTGACAGATTTTTCTGGCAAGGGCGAACACCAGAAGAAATGCTAAGTGCTAAAATATGTATTTTTTACACAATGTTTGATTTTTCTGGATGGTGGTGGTTTTGGAGAGACTCCTACACAATGCTTACAGGTGGATCCCAGCTTTGCCTGGTCTAAAAGCAGGCACTGCATGCTGAGCTCAGAACAGCTGCTGAGGATGTATTGATCAGGGATCCAAATTCTCTCTTGTTTTCCTTTAACATATAAAGATCTGTTCTGAAGCTCATTTTTTGCTAGGCCTTTGCTTCTGATGGAATACAAAGTGCTTGAGGCTATTTTATTGGTCCCATGCTTCCCCACAGATTAAACAGTTAGGTAGATTGAGGATTTTTTGTTTTTAAATGCAGAGCCCCATATCAAACACCAGCTTTTACCCTCTGCATATACAAACACTGCATTCTGTTCCTACATTTATAATGAGCAGATAACACAGGGTGAGGAATCAGAAGCCTTAGGGCAGCAGTCCACACCGACTTTCCAAAACTTGAGATGTGCAATAAGAAAGAGCTGACCTGATTTTTGCTACTTGTTGGCCCTCGTGAGATTTGCAGTTGTACAGCACCTCAGCAAAGCAAGGCAATGTGTACTTAACAAGTATGGAGATCAAACAAATCACTGTTTGAATGTTTTCTAATTAGCCCCTTTTGCATTACATAGGGACTTCCAATTGGTCAGAAGATTATTTCACTAACACTGCTGGCGTGGGACTCATTATCAAGCAGAGTTCAACCAACCTGCAGAGAAGGCATCAGCCTGTCCAGGAACAATTAAAAAGCATTTTTGAGCGAGACTGGAATTCCAAATATTCAGTGAATGTGGAGGATGTGCAAGGTCAGAAAGACTGCAACTGGAGAGACAGACTCTGAAGTGAACAGGAGAATACATTTTTTAGAAAGAAATACGTATCTGGATGTTGTTCCCTGTGCAAAAAGAGCAGCTTTCTGCTTTGTCTTTTATCAGAGAAATTTCTTCCTGGTGGTGTCTACACTGCCTGACAATGTGGGAACTTCTAGTAGTTGAGTCTCCCTTCCTACTCCTCAGCCAGTGTGTGATGTTTCCTTTGCTGTGTACCATTAGCCCATCTCAGAGTTAATGAAATGCATACGGTGTTGCAGCACAGTCTGTTTGATATTAAAGAGAACATGGAAGATATGATCAGATCTGAATACACTAGAGAAGCACATCACAATGCTGTACTGTGCTTATCTTGGGACGCCATATATTCAACCAGAATGTTGCACTAACAGTGTTTGCTTACACGTGTTAAACATTTTTCAAATAAAGTCCTGGTCACTGTAAGATTTGAGCAATGCAAATAATCACTTATAACAGCAAGGACAGATTTTTAAAAAGCATCTAGGCACTTGTGGCACAAGAAATGTATGTGTTTATAAATGTTGAATCTAATCAGGCTGGATGGGGCTCTGACACCTAATGGAGCTGTAGGTGTCCCTGTTCACTGCAGGGGGGTTGGACGAGGTGGCCCTTAACTCAAACGATTCTATGACTCTAAATCACTGCTTCTCACCAGTTGTACTTCACAGGCTTATTATCCTGCACCAACAAATACATCCGGCCACAAAGTGTAGGAATACGTGTATGCAGGAACAACATCTGCTCAGATGTGACCCACTGCAAGGAGCACACGCGAACAGGCAGTGATGAAAATCTTTCTGAGACTTCACGTGTTTCAGTGTAACTATTTCCGATAGAGGAGTGCGCTCCTCTAGATGGCACTCGAAGCTATGTTTTCACTGCTTTTGAGAGGGTAAATTTTGCTGAACAGGAAAACTTTCTCCTTCCCTTATGAGCTCAAACCTGACAGTGCTGGATAAGTTGCGTAGCGGAGCAGTTTCTGGGTAAGATAAGAGAATGGAATGTTGGGATAAGGTTCAGCTTTCAAAGGAAAAATGGTTGCTTACTAGAATGACCTTTATTTTCTTTACAGCCATCACCTGTCTTGATTCTTTCTTCACAGATGAAGGAGAGGTTTGCAGTTAAGACAATTAACTGGATCTCGCTGGAACTTGAATTTGGTTTCTTGGTATCTTCTCTTTGCTTGATCAGTATTAAAAAGGCAGAACATGGTGAAAATTATAACTGGGCCTTGAATCTTTCAATATTTTCGTTTTTCCACTTGCAGTATTTATCTTTATCCTTATCCTCCCACCCATCGCTTGTCTCATTTAGATATTGTGATTTCTTTAAGGTAAAGACTTTCCTAAATGTAATTAATCAGTATTTTTAATTACCATCTACTACCTTCAGATGGATTTCTCTATTTTGGAGGTCAACTAAACTCTGGCTGCAGGCAGTTTAGATATTTTTTTAATACTGATCTACTTGGGTCTGGAGTTTCCCAGTCATCTCATTTCCAAGAGTGCTTGGCTCAGTGAAATGCCTGTAAATGCCCAGCAGGCTCTGTAGGTCATTATGTTTGGATAGGACTACTAAGTCACCTGCATTATCCCAAAGCATTACCATTATGTGTTTGCAATCTCCCCACCCACAATTTGCCCTTTGCAGTTGTTCCAGAAAAAGCACACCTGAGTTGTTTTCATCCAGGTATTGAGAAAACCTTTCATATGTCAATTATACATCAATGCATATCTAATTTTTTATAGTATTTCCATATTCTCTGGAATATAGCTCTTCCGTAAGGGGCACTGACTCCCAGATATCTGTTTTATTTCATTCAGTATTAACTTTAGCTTCTGGAATGAGAGGTAATGGTTTTAAGTTGCTCCAGGAGAAGTTCAGGTGGGATATTAAAAAACATTTCTTCTTAGAAAGAATGGTGAGGCATTAGCACAGGCTGCTCAGGGTGGTGGAGTTACCATCCCTGGAGGTGTTCAAGAAAAGGGCAGATGTGGCACTGAGGAACATGGTCAGTGGGCATGGTGGGGATTGGTTGGTGCTTGGACTGGGTGATTTTAGTGGTCTTCACCAACCTCAATGATTCTATGATTCTCTGATATCAGAGGTTCTACTTAAAATATAATCAGTCAACCAAAAGACGTATTATTATATAGGAAAAGGTTCTGCACCAGAGGGTGGTGGGCATGAAAGAGGCTCTGTGTCTGGACAATGTTCTCAGACAGGATCTGGTTTTAGGGTTGGCCTGAGTGGAGTCAGGGGTTAGACTCAATGATCCCATTGGGTCCCTTCCAACTCAAGATATTCTATCTTTGTTTGCATTCATGTCTCAACAATGTGGGATACTGCAGGGCTGGGGAGGCAAAGTATCTTTCTTTTCAGGGTGTTTACACCTTCCTTTGCACGTGCAGTTGTACGACTGTTTGGCTGGAGGCTGGACGCAGATGTTTAGTTGAACAGCCCACTATTCCAGGTGTTAAAAATGAAGTAGCATTAACCGAGGAAACCTAACACAGTTAAAAGAAACAGCAACAACAACGTTCTCAGACCAGGTAGGTGGAGCCAGAACCACAGGAGCCCGCTGACAAAAGTATGTGTGTTTTGAAGATTTGTCTCTGTGTTCCTTGCACTCTTTTGAGCTCAGTCTTTAGCTACTCCTGTGGTCAGACCCTTGGGTTATGCCTTGTTAATCCGGTTACTCTTTTTCCTAACTTCTGCTTTCTCTAAAGCTGACAGGAGCCCATTTGGAGGAAGGTTTTATTGCTGCTTTTTTCTCTCCTCTTCCTTCCTCATCTAGTGCATTCATCTTTTAAAAACAGAGTAGTGAGTCTTGCTCTGTGGTTATTGCTGTCTCAGAGCTCAGTTTTAATTGACCTCATCCTTTCTGCAGAGATGCAGAAATGGAGAATACCTCAAGTCCCACATGGTTACACAACCAAGTACATTTCCTTTATAACTAAATTTCTAAACAATTTGCTTTGTCTCTTTTCCCTGTTGTAAATAGAATACAGAGAAAGAAACTACAGGATGAGAAAAGCACCATAAAGAAGCACAACTGCACACGCAGATCTACAAAACTCAGAAATGCAGTGGGTGAAAAGTCTCAGATTAGTCTGTATCCAACACCATCATATTTAGAAACCATGCTGCCATTAGGCAGTCATTTCAGCAGAGAGTGGGTGATGATTAGGCTGGCATTTCCAGCTGTAGTTTTGAGAGTGAGCCAACAGTAGTGGCATTAGCAATAATTCAGGCTACTCGCATTATTTTTCATGTAGTGAATTTATTGTGAATTAAGAATATAGTGTTTTAATGATACATATGAAGGCCATCATATATGCACTCTGGTTTTGGCTGTGCACTTGAGAGAAGCATTAATATAAACAAAGAGGTAAATAACTATATACATCTCCTTTCCCAGAAAATATCTGAAGCAATTCCACCAAAGCGTGGCAGATCATTCTGTGCATTTAACTATTCAGTAAATATACACATAAAAATTTATTTATCCACATTTTTATAATAGTTATCACCATTATTTGGGTACCTTAAAAATGAGAAATAATTAAATGGTTTTTTTTTTTTTTTTGGTCTTGAATTTATTTATTTATTAATCTTTTAAGGCTAAATATGACCCACCACGATAATAAAAAACATGAGAAGAGAGGAAGGGGTAAAGCCTCTGTCTGTCTACACTAGTATTTTGTTTTTATTTTGTTTTTTTAAAATGATTGTGAAGTATATGTTTACTTTAGCTGAAATAAAGAAAGATGCTTTAGTAAGAAAGCAAAAATAAGCCAGAGAGATTCAAAATCTAAACAGGTAAATATAATTCTCATAGTACTACTTTATACTCTGCTCTGCAAATAATATATAATCTAATCCTAACTGGTGTGTTTTTGAGAAGCATATATAACAAGACATTTTCCTGTCATTGAGTCTTTCAAAGGTTTACTTTCATGGTTCAGGTATTTTTTCAGACCTTATTAGAACTATGAACTCTCCTGTACCTGTACCTGTTCTTGCCTTTGGAGCAGATTTGGAAAGATCACTATTTTTATTACTACACAGTATAGCACATTCAAGTACAGGAAGATTTAGATGTGGTAAATTCTCTTCAAGGAACTGTTTTCGTAAATATCACCTGTAGGTTTTGTTTAATTTTTGGTTACTGGCAAATTAGGAAAACTTTTTTTTTTTTCTTTTCTCTTGTGTAGATTATTCTGTTTTCTGTGGGTAGTTGGCAAAAGACAATCTTCATTTGGTTGTATCTCCAGGGATATTAGGTTGACTAGCTTTTTCTTCCTCCAACAAGATTAGTTCAGTCCTTGCTAAAGATGTAACGATAGTTTGAGAAACTGGAATATTAGATGAAGTCCCGTCGATTTCTTGTTCTTCACTCTCTGTTATTTCTTTAGGTGATAAGCTTTCCTGTGCATCAAAAAATACATCAGGTTTATCTGAAGGGCTATCTTCATCTGATATTCTTCTCTCTTTATGACCTGTCTCTTCTTTGTCAACAGTCTTAGCTTTTTTAGAAGGAGATGTGAAACCTAGTTTGGGAAATCTAAACCATCCAGTTTTTTCAGTTTGCTTAGAAGAATCACTAACTGATGTGTCAGCAGGTTTCATATCTTCTGGCCTTGTTTCTTCTGATTTTTTTACTTCTGTTTTTGAATCTGAGCTTGTTTCATCACCAGAAGATGAAAAGCCAATACTTGGAAGCCAAAATTTGAATCTTCCAGGAGACCTTTTGCTGTCCGCCTTTTCTTTTTCATTAGTTACATACTTTTCTTCATCTTCTTGTGCTTCAACTATATCCTCATCTTTAGAGGGAGGAGCTGCAGTTATTTTTTCTGGTGCCTTATCAGGATGACTCTCTTCAGGTTTACTGGAAGGCTTTGTTTTTAATGTTGGTAAACCTATCATTGCGCTAGGTTCTTCAGTCTCACTGTGTGGTTTGTCAGATAGCTTAAGCTCAGCGATGACAGTCCTCTGTGCACTTACTGCAAAACTTTCATCAGAATGTTCAGATTTGTTCACTGATGCATTTTCCATTGAAGGGCTTTGCTGGACTTGCACTTCTAAGTTGCTGTGTGATTCAGGCAACTTTGCCTTGAGCAATGAAAATCCCAAAGTAGCAGTTTTAACTTCTGATGAGAGAATCTCTGATTCCTTCAGTATCTGGGTGGAGTAAATTTCACACCTTTCAATAGAAACATGTTCAGGTTCTACTTTCTCTCTCACTTCTTGGCCTTCTATGTATGACCAATGAACGTCTTGCCCTGCATTTGAAAGGCAGGAATCTATGGTAGCAGTCATCTGTGCTGTTTTAATGTCAGGTTCAATCAGTGTTAGAATTTTGCTTTTTGCTCTTTGAATATCTCCTTCCAGAGTCTCTGGTATTTCCTCGGGGACAGCAGAGCTTGCTTGCAAGTGCACCACTTCAATGTCAGCACTAGTTCCTTTTGGATCTGTTACCACTTTTGACAATGAAACATCAGCTTCACTTGGGAGAACTCTGAAAGTGAATCTTGGTATTTTTAGTTTGGGAATTTTTATATTTACTTCTGGACCATCTTGTGATTTGTCCACTGTTTCCACTGTTACTCTAGCAGATGATTCTTTGTGATCTGTAGTTGGACTTGTTGGGCCAATGGACCCTTCTGATTTTTGTAACTGCATTTCCACTCTGCCTATTTCAGTTTTAGACATTGAAACAGCTCCTGACTTTGGCAAACTGATATCATCTTCAAAACCCTTCGCTTCTGAATATAATACTCCGAACTTTGGAATCTTAAACTTGTATGTTTTAATTTTACTTGTTTCTGCTCTGTCGTCTACTTGCGCTTCCACATTTGCAGACATGTCCTTTTCAACACGTTTCACTTGACATTCCATTGCAGGATCTACCCTCTCAATTTCAACATCCGTTTTCACTTCTGGAACATCTACCTTTACATCTTCCATCTTAGCTGCAACATAAACAGCATCTTCTGATCCCTTAGCAGTAGCCCACTCACCCGTAGACCATTTTAATTCACTGTCTTTTCCTGTAATTTTAATCTCACTTGTCTTTATCTTTACCGTTTTAATCACTGCCCCTTGATTTTGAAGGTCTAATTCTTCCTTTGCAAGACTTGCATCTGTTTTTTCCTGTGTTCTGTCCAGAGTAATTTCACCTGATAATGTTTTCAATTCTGCACTTAAAGTCTTTAGTTCAGTGGAACTTTCTACTTTTGGAGTATCTATATCCTGTGATTTGACTTTTTGCTCTTGAAGAGTCAGTGTACCCATAGGAAACTTACTAGGTGAACTGTTATCTTTGTCAATTACTGAAGCACTTATTTCCGCTTTAGATAATTCCACTGAAGACACCGTGAATTCTGAACTGTGCATTTTTTGTCCTTCAGCACCACGCTTAACTATGTCTGCATAAGTTTCAGTCTTTGGAATATTTACTCTACTATCTATGCTTTCTGCAGAGAATGAAATATCTCCTTCTACCTTTGGCAAGCTAATAACAGAACTCTCCACAGAATCTCCTAATTTTGGAGTTTCTTCTTTTTCAATAGTAATTTCAGCTTCAGTTTGTACTTTGGCAGAAGGAATGCCTGCCTGAGGTTTTTCTAGACTTCTTTCAACATCAGTATCACTTTTCTTTTCCTTTAAGGATGTGCGGCCAAATGCAGGTATTCTGAATTTTGGCATTTTAAACCACCCCTGATGTTCTTCAGTCTGAGCTTCTTCACCTTTCATTTCTTCTTCTGTTTTGATTTCTTTCTCCGTAAGGCTCTCAGTGTATCCCTCTGTCACTGCTTTAGACTCTGACTGGGGGCTTATGTCTACCTTTGGAGCTTCAATGACAGCCATCAGAACTTGGGGTGTTTTTGCCTTTGAACCATAAACCTCTAGCCCAGGATCTGACATATCAGATGTAAATTCTGATGCTGGCACTCTCCCAGCAATGTCAGCAACTTCTGCTGTCGTTTTTAGCTGAGGTAGCTCAGCTTCTAATTTTGGAGAGCTGATCTCTGGCTCTGGGCCCTTCCCTTTTGTCAGAGAGATTCCAAACTTTGGCTTCTGGAATTTGGGCATTTTAATCTGTACATCGTGACCTTCCAATTTCATTTTTCTTCCATCCATAACTAATGATCCTTCTGTTGCTATTTTGGTGCTCCCCAGTTCAGTTGAAGTTTCTCCTTCAGTGAACTCAATGCCTGTTTTTTGAATTGAATCTTTATCAGAACTTGATTTTAGGACAACCTGATGAAAACTATCCTCTGAGACAGTCAGAGCAGTATCAATCTTGGCTGAGCTGACTCCCAAATCAGCTTGGAAGGCTTCTGTTCTGGAAAGCTCCAAAGTGGGGATCTTAACTGCAGCTGTTTTTATGCTTATTTGTGCCCCTTCTTCTGTCTGTGTGGAATGACTTCTTTCTATATCAGGTATCTGTATTGAATCAACTCCATCTCTTTCTGTTTTAGTAACAGTACTTCCAGCTTCAACTTTTAATGAATGTCCCTGAGATTTGGGAATCTTGATCTTGGAAAGTGAAATTTTAGGCATGACAAACTGAGGCTTTTTAATTGGACTTTTTGGTTGATCTTTTCCAGCAGTTATTTCCAGATCAAGGACAGGCCTGGGTCCTTGATCATCAACTACAGTTCCTTCCACTTCTGTGTCTATTCCACCTGACGTTACAGCAACTTGCTTGTCTTCTAAATTTGCTCCAGAATCTGCCTTAACAGTTGCTTCCTTCTTTGGTGACCAACTGAAGGATGGAAGTTTGAATTTTGGCATTTTGAAATGTCCTTCTTTCTCTTCTCCGTCTTCATTCCTGTGCTTTGTTTCTTCTTTAATTTTTAGTGCCATATCTGAATCTTGAACATCATTGTCTGTTTTTGAGATAGAAATCTCACCCGTTGGGAATTGAGTATCAGCTTCTGGAGCCTTCTTGTCAGCTTTGGTTATTTTCAATTTAGAGCTGGAAGATACTTTTCCTTCACCACATTCCACCTCCAAATGTGGTGCTTCCACGGCAATGTCAGCTATTTCTATCGTTGCTTTTAGTTGGGGAACCTTAGCTTCTGATTTGGTTTGGCTGACCTCCTTTTCTGATCCTTTACCTTTAGAATTTGTCGTTCCAAACTTTGGCATTTGGAATTTTGACATTTTTGTTTTCCCTTCAGCTCCTTCAACTTTTATTTCTACACCACCCATGGCAATTTCACTTGATATTCTTTTAACACTTGTCTCAGGACTCTTCACCTCAAGTAAGGCTTCAGTTGTCATCTTAGTATCTGAGGAAGGAATATCATCAGCAGATGATTTCTGGTTCAGGTCATCTTGTTCACAAGCAGTAAGTATGATTTCACCAGCAGGCATGCTAATATCCATTTCTATTTTGGGTCCTTCAACTTCAGATTTGGGAAATTCTGGAGTTGAAACTCTAACTTTTGGCATCTTTACACCCATTTCCGCCCTTTCTTCACTACTACCTTTGTCAGATTTCTGTACTGAAGCATCTCCACATTTTTCTTGTTTGAGATCACAAACATCAGTTTCTAGTATGGGCAGAGAGCTCTGGACTTTTTGACCCTTCACATCAATTTCTGGTGGTTTACCCTTTGACCAAGAAAATCCAAACTTGGGTTTTCGGAACTTAGGTATTTTAACCGTGTATTCTGTGTCACCAACACACAGCTCAGCAGGTGGTGTTTTTGCTCTTCCTGGCTTCATAATTCCTTGCTCACTAAAACCCTCCCCATTCAAAATCTCAAAATCTGTAAGTGAAATTTTTGATTCAGATTCTGCTACATTCATTTGATATTTGGTAAGAGTTATATCCCCTTTTGATAATGGGGAATCTTGATCAAATTTAGAAGAACTAATATCAACTTTGGAGAAACCCAAACTAGGAATTCTAAATTTACTGCTTTTAGAAGAGCTGTCTCCCTTAAAATCAGGAACAAGTTTACCTCCGACACTGCCAGAAATCACAGCAGGAGACTCCTCTGTTACAGAATAACAAATAGATTCTGACTCAGAACATTCAGTACTAGACTTACTTGGAAGCTCATGCTTTGAACTTCTAGAAAGTGAAACTCTAGGCATACTGAATAAAGAACCCTTAGATTTCCCAGGAGAATCCTCCGTCACACAGGATGAACTAGAGATAACAGCAATGTCAGGTGCACGTATCTCGGCCCCAGGCAGGATGCCGTCACCTGAAGGCTCCTTGAGGCTCACGTCCACATCGGCAGCTACG